TTGTGCACTTGGCGTAATGTGCTGGATGGCCATTAGTTTATCCAATTTGGCCTGAATGTCCCCTGGGCCCAGTCTCGTCAGCGTCTCCTTCGTAGATCTCACCATCCGTTCCGCAAGACCATTCGTCGATGGTTTTTTCGGGGCGGATAACACGTGCCTTATTCCTTGGTCAGAGAGGAACATCTCAAACGCGTTTGACGTAAATGGTGGCCCGTTATCGGAAACTATGAGATCGGGGATTCTGTGTGTGGCAAATAAACGTCTCAAAACTTTAATCACTGCATCTGCCATGGTCGTCGTCATGAGCACTACTTCGAGCCACTTCGAATACGTGTCCACGATGACTAGGAACGTATTCCCTTTGCATGGCCCTGCGAAATTGATATGTAATCTGGCCCATGGTGTTCCCGGGTTCTCCCAATCGTGGACGGGGGCTGAGTTTGGAGCTGCCCTAGACTCTTGGCAGTTCGTGCAGGAGGACACCCACGTTTCAATTTCTTTGTCCATTCCTGGCCACCACACGTAGCTCCTGGCCAGGGCTTTCATCCTTACGATCCCCGGGGAGTAATTTGAGTATGTGTTGTCTTAATGTGTTTGGAACAACGACTCTATCTCCCCACAACACGCACCCCCTTAGTACTGACAGTTCATTTTGCCTCTGTCTGTATGGTAGGAATTCTGGGCTTATATCCTTTTCTTCCGGCCACCCCTTCCAAATCCAATTTAAAACTCGCGCCAATATTTTGTCCTTCGAGGTGGCCCTTGCGATGTCGGCTGCAGATATTCAGGCTTCCTCCATCATCTCTATTAGCAGCGTGGTCATCGCTGGCACTGGATCCTCCCCCGTTTCTGGAAGTGGGCACCTACTGAGGGCGTCTGCATGGTCGATTGATTTCCCAGGGTGATGGAGCAGTGTGTAATTGTAGGCCGCTAGGAATTCCACCCATCTAAGCATTCTGGGCAACAAAACGGGGGGTGTTGGTTTGTCCCCGCTATGATGCCTAACAGCGGCTTGTGGTCGGTTATTAGCTTGAAGCTCCGACTGTAGAGATACTCATGGAACCTTTTTATTCCGGCTACTGCGGCTAGCGCTTCTTTGTCCAATTGGCTATAGTTCCATTCGGGTTTTGACAGAGTTCGGCAGAAAAACGCGATGGGGGCTTCTGTTCCGTTTGGCATTTTGTGGCTCAATACAGGTCCGATGCCGAAAGGGGATGCATCGCATGTTAGTCTTATTGGTAATGTCCCACTGTATTGCACCAAAATTCTGTCCAAAGTTAAGAGGTTTTTTATGTCTTTGAACGCTTTCCTTTCTTGCTCTCCCCATCTCCATTCCGCCTTTCTGTCCAGCAGCCGGTGAAGTGGTTCAGCAGTGGTGGCTTTCTGCGGCAGGAAGATATAAAAATTAAGCAACCCCAAAAATGCCTGCAGTTCGGTTTTATTTTTTGGGGTGGGTGCTTCTTTGATCGTTCTCAGCTTTCCCGGGGTGGGTCTAATCCCCAACTCGTCTATCAAGTATCCCAGAAACTCGACCTGGGTCTCCGCTAGCTGGCACTTGTCCCTTTTAACTTTGAGCCCCACTTTCTGGAACCTTGTCAACACCTCCCTCAGTCGCTGCTCCAGTTGGGTCGTGTCCCTTGCTGATATCAGGACATCATCGAAGTAAGGGACGACCCTGTTGATTCCTTGTAGGAGCCGTTCCATTAGACTTTGGAATAGCCCGGGTGCTACGCTCACCCCGAATTGCAGTCTCTTACATTTGAATGCCCCCCCTGTGCGTAACAATAGTTTGTGCTTCTGCGGTGGCTTCATCTACGGACAGCTGTTGGTACGCTTGTGCTAGGTCCAATTTTGCAAAGATTCTTCCCCTCCCCAGGGAATGCAAGAGGTGTTGTACTACTGGCACTGGGTATGCGCTTTGTTGGAGCGCCTTATTCAATGTACTTTTATAGTCTCCGCACAAGCGTACTGACCCATCAGGCTTAATGGGTGTCACGATGGGGGTTTCCCATTTCGTGTGGTCTATTGGCTCTAAGACTCCCTGCATGACCAGCTTATCTATTTGTTCATCTATTTTTGGTCGTAGCGCAAAGGGGACCCTCCGGGGTTTGATTCGGATTGGGGCTACCTAGGGGTCTAAATTGAACGTGATTGGGGACCCTTTGTACTTGCCTAGCTTGCTGTTAAACACTTCCACGAACTCCCTCATCAGGTCTTCCTCCCAGGTGTCATTTTCGATGTGATCGATGCCGGTGATGGCTAGTCCCAGTAGCTCGAACCAGTCCATGCCCAGCAGGCTGGGTCTGTCTCTGTCCACTATCGTGAGGGGTAGCGTGGCTTTGAATGTCTTGTAGGTGACATTGAACTTGCCGATGCCTACCACAGGAATTTGGTTCCCTTGGTAGTCGATGAGCGTGAGGCGCTGTCGTTTGAGGTCGCAGGCTGTGATGTGTGGCAGCAGCTTCTTGATCATCGTCCAGGACACCATCGATAGGCTGGATCCTGAGTCCACCTCCATCTTGCAGGGTCTCCCCTCGATCAAGACTGTCGCCGCCATCTTGTTCGCTCTCCCCGCGCTGGCGTGGCCGATCACAGTGGTCTGATGGGTCTCACCTCGATCTGCCCGGTGGTCATCGTTTCTTTGTCCTCACCCAAACGGTTGTCTCTTCCCACTGGTCTGGAACTTTCTGCTGTTCGTTGGTGAACGGGGGGGTCTGGTCCTTCTGGAGACTGGCTGGGATGCCCTGCAAACCCTTGCTATGTGCCCTTTCTTCTTGCATTTTTGGCAAATAGCGTCCCGGAATCTGCATTCGGCTCTGGGGTGGTTTCCTTCGCATCCCGAGCACCAGGCCTCTCTCTTCCCCTGTTGTCTCTCCTTACGATCGGCCCGAAGGTGATGGACTTCATCCTCCTCGTCCTCCTCCTCTGAGTCCGATTCCGCTCTTTCGTAGTGCACCGCCGCCGCCTCCTTTACTGGCGGTCCGCTTTTCATCTTCTTCATAGCTGCCGCCAATTTCTGGGATGCCTCGGTTGCAGATGCTTCTTCCAAGGCCTCCTTGAATGTGATTTGAGGCCGGGCCAGCAACCTACTCTGTAACGTGAGATCTCTCAGTCCCAGCACTAGACGGTCCCTCATGGCCTCTTCCAGGTTTAGGAAATTGCATGCAGTGGCTATTTCTCGCAAGGTCGCCACGAACGCACTGATCGACTCTCCCTCTCTTTGGTCCCTCCGGTAAAACTCATGCTTCTTACCAGAGATGATGCCTGTGGTGCGTAGTGTGCCTTGAGTATCTCCTGCAGCGTTGTCCAGGTCATCGTCTTTAGTTCGGCTGGGGCAGCGAGTGCCTTTGCCATTTTAAACACTGCCGGGCCACAATGGGTGAGAAAAAGGGCCCTCTTCCTCTGCTCTGACAAACTCAACAGGTTGTTTGCCTCCATGAACATATAGAATCGCTCCATGTATGCTTCCCAATCTTCCCCGGTTGGGTTGAATGGAGCGGGTGGTGTGATTGCAGACATCATGGTAGCCGATGATCTGACTGGTATGGTACGGTGGATCGGATGGATGGCTGATGATTGCTTGGAGATCGATGTGCCGTCCTGTTCCTTCAGATCCCACCTTCGTCGCCAATGTTAAATCGTGGGCGATTGAGGAAAGGACTCGACACAATGTAACTGGAAACACTTTATTTAACTCCGGAACAGCAATGGCAACTCTAGCCCGGGCAGCCCTTTATATAGTCTGGAGCTGTCCGCGACTTCAGCCACTGACGTGCCTCTAAATTTCCCGCTCTCAGGACTAACTCCTGATTGGCTTATTTAAACTGTCACTTGATATTCAACATAGCCTTCCATCCTTTCTAAGGTAGGTAAATTGAGGACCCAGTTTGTGGGGCAATAAGCTGACTTTGTATAAAATATACAAAAGTATGAAGGCTATTGCTTAATGCACTGTAAGCCGCCCTGAGTCTCTGGAGAAGGGCAGTATATAAATCAAATTTTAAAAAAAATTAATTTTGATACATAAAATATATTTATAATGAGGCAGAATTGCTAATATTAATTCCAGTTAGGTTGACAACCTAGGGAAGCTAAGCATTTCCCACTTTGCTTTCCTTTGTTTATAATTCTTTTGTTCTTAAATTCAGGATAATCTGTCATTTGAGTAAACATGTAGGTGTATAGATTATAAAATTCCCCCATTGTTCTGACCTAGGCTTCCCAAGAGCATGAAGCAGACTCCTTGTCTCGACAAAAAAACCCTTTTTATTAAGTTACTGTAAATTCTTCTCATTCACATCCAGCAAAGTCTTTCAAGGGAGAATTTACAGTCACAGACCTTATCTGGCTTGGAGAGCTGCCAGGCCAACATCTTCAAAACTTGGCAAGGAGTCACGAACCAATTAAGCGAAATAATTGTCTCTTGCAAACCGCACTCCCCTTTCGCTCCTCTTTTATTCCCTCTGGGAGGGGCCATTCATCGTCCACCTGTGACTTACTCCCAAGTTGAACCTTGTTCTTTAGCTGTTCCCTTCATCTGGCAACTCTGCGCATGCGCACACTGGGAACAGGCTCCAGCTGTTTGTCTGCCTCACTGATGTCTGACTCCAAAGGCAGCTGATAACTGGCATACGACCCTGGCCCCTCTCTGCTTCCGACGCAGAGCCCTCAACAGAGCCTTTCCCAGACTCCAGGACTGGCCCATGTTCCTCCCCAACCTCCTCACTGTCCGAATCTGCTGCCAGCTCTGCTGGCTGCTGGCAGGCCACAACACCCATCACTGCAGTTGTACATAGGTTTTTCTGAGGGTTCTGTTTCTACTGAATTCCCTCTTGAATTCAAAGACAAAAACTCACAGGAAAGTGTTATAAGTCTAAGCTTGTAACATCCAGATTTTAGTAGGCAATATCATGCTATTATTATACATGAAATTATATATGTATGAAATTATACTACTATGTTATCTCATTTCCATCTCTGTTTATTATTTCTGTTCTTAGGTTTTCAAAAACTACCACAAATGGAGAAAGGAATGCCCAGAAATAACTGCAAATCTACATCCACCCTCTGTTCTTAGCTTGTTGCAAACAGGCTACAGTGGAATTTTGAAAGAGAGGGATCCAAGTGGTTCTAGAGTTGTCATTTATAGAATTGGCAAGTAACTTTTATGTTGATAATCCTATCTAGCTTTTAACACCAAAGTGAAAGATGATGAAGGGGAAGAACGCACATACAGGGATAGTGGCTAAATTGCCCTAAGATCTTAGGATCAGGACCAACAGCCACGGCCGCCTCCATTGCACTTTCCACTGTTTGCCCTTTGCTCAGTGAAATTGCTGATTCTGGGATTGATGGGAAGAGATCTGTAGTTCAGATTTCTCTTGGCTAGTTAAGAAGGGTAGAAGAATGGCTGCAAAAAGAAGCTAAATTTGACCAGCTGGAGAAGTAAAGGATGAGCAGCTGCACTGGACCATATTTGATAACTTGCTTTCCAGTTTGTGTGTTTGTTTGTTTGTGTGTGTGTGTGTGTGTGCATGCACACAAGTAAACTGGAGGGCTTTTTTCTACTCTCTTTGCTTTTTTCTTAGGGAACAATTGACCTCATTCGACTCAATTGACAGTTGACTCTGTTTTAGTCTTTTTATATATATATATAACTTCACAAACTTATCTTATTGTTATGGGTCTGTTTATAATCTGTTTCTCTGTAATTTTCAGTAAAGCTTTTTAAAATTTAAATATTCATCTATTTTCTCCAGGGAAATTTCTTTTCCTTTATATAAATTGGAATTTTATTGAAATACTTTTTGCATAGTCACATTATCTGTTATTATAGTATCACTCTTTTGTAATTTCAGTATCTTTTTTTTTCATCATTTCCCTGTTTTATTTGAAAACTCATTCTTTGGTTTGCATAATTTATTTTTATTTCCATTTCTCTTAATGATAACATAGATAATTGTTGCTGTAGAAGTTTAATCAGTTGAGAAATAATTATCTTCTTTGGAAACTTCTTTAATTTCTCTTCTTTTTTTTAATCTCACCCAAAATAGTTTGTGTTTTCTATTGCCTTTTCCTTTTGAGTTCATTATTATGGCATATAAAGCAATAGCAAAAGCAATAGCAATAGCAATAGCACTTAGACTCTTTAGAACACTTTACAGACCTCTCTAAGCAGTTTACAGAGTCAGCCTATTGCTCCCAACAATCTGGGTCCTCATTTTATCGACCTTGGAAGGATGGAAGGCTGAGTCAACTTTGAGCTGGTGAAACTCAAACTGCCAAATTGTGGGCAGACGGTAGTCAGCAGAAGTAGCATTCAGTACTGCACTCTTAACCATGACGCTACCACATCTGTCATAAACTCTTTGCCTGTATATTAAATGAATCTTACATCTGTACCTTTATTAAGATTATTTTCAAACAGCTTGAAAAGGAGGTCTCAAGGCAAATGCTGCACTGAGATCAGCAGTAATATTTGGCCAACATTCAGTGAGATAATTTACAGATAATTTTTGTGAGCTGTTGATTATTAAGGTATGAGAAAAAAAATGAGATAAACATAGCCATAAAACAATAATCAGATTAAAAACTAGGGAGTGAAGAAAGAGAATCTGTTTGAACAGGCAACTTGGAAGACTTGGGGGCAAAATGTAGATTATAAAAAACAGAGACTATGCTTTTAATGAGGTTGAATTAAATATTTAGGTGCACATCTGCTCAGACTTCACTCTCTCTCACTGATATGTTACATGTTCCAAGAAATTTAAATATAATCTGATTAGAATTAAGCAGTTTTTAATTCTCTTGAAAATACAAGAAAATATAAGCAGTTCAGAGAGCATTTCTATGTTTGATAGCTGTCAAAAGAAGATTAGATGCATTGCTAAAGTAGGATTTCACAGGTAAAGAAAGTCTGTTGGGATTGTAGCTTTTAACCTGTGTTATCCAAGCCCTACTATTCCAGCAATAGGAAAATAAGAAAAACAAAGATCTGTTAGACCGCTTTTTAAGAAAACCCGCTCTTTCCCCTATCAAGAACTGACAGATTTGGAGTTGATGGAGAATAATCCAGTATCTCATTTCCTTGTCTCATCCATTCATCCTTAATCTTTGAAATCAATGATGTAGACATTTGTAGTAATTACTACATGATGTAGTAATGCTTATCACTCTCTTATCTTTATTTGTTGTAACTGTTTTCTTAGCAAGAATAATTATGATAGACTTTGTGAAGCAGCCTATAAGGTAAGGTTGTATTTAAATTGTGACTCTTAATTTGACATTTTCACAGTATAGATACTGTGTTTCTTATTTGTGTTTATATATTAGCTTTCATAATATTGATTGTACATTGCTTGTTACTAGAAAAGTCATATCAATTGAAAAAAAATAATTTATATTATGAATGCTATTAAAGCTACCTAGTGCCTGGAATAGTTCATGATGCACAAGTTTTGGAAAACATAAGTAAACTTTTTAATGTTGCCTATTATTGTTGCCCAATCCAGGATTTTATTTAAGAAAAAAAATCACTTTGTGCAGAAAAATTGGTTTATTGTTAAATAATTCATATGTCTCTCTCTCTATATATATATATTGCATTTAGCACAATGGGACCCTAAGATATTTACAGCATATGATCTCTTTCGTGTAAGTGTTATGCTATCTGAGCTTTTGGCAAGAGAGCCAGAAACCCAACGGAATGGAGTCAAGACAATCTTCGATCTCCAAGGATGGAAATTTGCTCATGCATTTCAGATCACTCCAGCAGTGGCCAAGAAAATAGCATTTGTGCTCACAGTAAGCTTTATTCTTATTTATTTCATTGTGGAATATTGTGCTAATTTCCAAGAACTAAAATCAGGTAGCTGAATTGAAGCGGATAAATAACACCTTTTCAGTATAGTTTTATGCTACAATTCAAAATTAAACCCACTTCAAACTGAATAAAGAATATGTCTGCTAGGCTGCCCCCATTTTGGTTTTTGTCTATCTTCTATATAGGCAGTCTGAAGAAGAATGGTGCAAAGATTTGCTTGAATACAAACACAGCTGAGTTCACTCTCTCCAGGTTTGTCCTGTATTATTATAGGCTCTGATAGAGCTTGGTCATCTTGGATTGTCTGACACCGTGACTTGCTTATAAGGCAAAGATGTATACTGTCTTGGGCTTGTAGTCAATAACTTCACATTGTCTCCATAGTTCTCAGTGCACTTCAGTTGACAACTGCTTGAATTAATTTAAACATATCTTTTGGTAGTCCATAATCAAGATCTTAATAATGTGAGAGGTATGTCTGAAATAGATACAATTCTGAAGTCAATTCTCTCACCTTACAATTGAGTATTCAGTAATTGTTCTATAAATACAGTCCATACATACTTCAAAAGACAGGTATGGTTGTAGAAACAATGATGTTTAAAACCTTTTCAAAGAAATTGTTTTCTATATTGAATATATTGACCTTGAAAGATGTTTGAATATTAGTAGCTCAGGTTGTTAATTAGGTTGTTGGTTTGTGCTCCAAGCTTGGCAATTTGGTTGCAAACATTTCGTCACCATTCGAGGAGACATTGTCAGTGCGTTTTGAGTCATTTTGAGTTTAAGTCAAAACATACTGACGATGTCTCCTCGAATGGTGACAAAATGTTTGCAACCAAATTACCAAGTTCAGAACTCAAAACCACAGCCTATATATTTCCTGTTCCATATTTCCATGTACATTGCTTATATAAGTATAAACATTAGAATATCAGAACTCTTATATTTAGAGCCAGTTTGGTGTAGTGATTAAATTCCTCCTTAAACTCAAAACCAGCTGAGTGATCTTGGGTCAGTCACATCCTCTTGACCCTAAGAAGGTACTGGCAAACCATTTCCAAATAAAACCTTGCTAAAAAAAACTGAAGATACTTTTCCAGGTAGTTCCAGGAATCAACACTGACTTGAAGGCACAAAAACAAGCAAACTTACCTCTACTTTGTTTTCTTATTTTTCTCTTTTTGGCAGGATGGTTTCCCACTAAAAACTCGAGGAATCCACTTGATTAGAGAGCCTCTAATTTTTTACCATGTTTTTAATCTAATTAAGCATTTCCTCTCTGAAAAAATCAAAGCACGGGTAAGTGAGCACAAATTCATTTGCTTATTCCCTTATTATCTCAGCACCCAGCACTTTTTTTTCTTTTGAAATAAATACATCCATTCCATTCTGATTCAACAACTCTTTTATTATTCTAATTAACAGGAAACCATATATAAATCCACCATTGTATCAATCCAAAGCAATATGCAAGTTCATAGATAAAGGTGTTATTGCTGAGTATATGTATTCTGCTGAGTAATTTTGAGTGAAATCATTATTTCCTGATGTTAGGAATGTAAAAGATTCTTTTCCTGATGATAGGAATTTTATTTCCTGATGATAGGAATGTAAAATATTCTTATCCCAAATATTACTGGGAGTACTTTTTTTTTTAATCCAAGTAATCTAGTTCATATTTTAGTTGTCATATTTGACAACTAAAGTTGTCATATTGTCATTGCATCTTGTACAACAAAATTAAATGCCATCTTCAGTGTACATTATAACTATAAAAATAAAACACAAACACATCCTTCACATTCTATACAATTAAATTGAAAACCTCATATATTGCATTAATATTGCACTATACAGTAGAATTCAATATAGTTACTGTCCTGGGATAGAAGCTATTTTTCAGCCTATTTGTCCTTATTTTTATTGTCAAATGGTAATAGTTAAAAAAAAAAGGGTGCCCAGGATGAAATGAATCTTTAAGAATGTTTTGAACTTTCTTGACGTAGCGGGAGCTATAAAGCTCTTCCAAAGAGTGGAGAGGGCAACCAATGATCCTCTGGGCAATGACATTAACCTTCTGGAGCACTGTCCTACGTGCCACTTTGCCATTTATTTCTTCCTAGGGAAAAAAAAGTCGAACTCACTTTTGAAAATGTATAAAGTAGCCCAATCTCTTGGCCAGCGTTTCTCAACTTCAGCAACTTGGCCAGCTAAGGATTTCTGGCCACTGAAATCCACACAGCTTAAAGTTGCTGTTGCCTATTTCCTTTGTTTCATAATAAAAATATACTACATACTTGCAACATTATGAACTTTTTTCTGAGAGCCAGATTTTCCTTTGCAGCACTTCCTGGAACAATCATGAAATCATTCAATACCACATAATTACATGAACATTCTTGAAGATGTCTCTTCCATCTCTTATATTTTCAAAATTTTACCCTTAAGTTGACCAACAAATTTATATCTGATATGCATCTGAGAGAATAGAGCATTTACCCTACAAAGTAAAATATATGACATTTATATTTTTGATTATTTCTTTCTGCTAAGTGTTAATTCTGAGCTTTAGCTGTATTGGCTGGCTGTGGAGGAGGTGGATGGGAGAAGTACTTTCAGATGAAAGGCTGAAAGAGGTTTGCTTTCCTACCTTGTCCACTTATCTCAACTCCATATAACTTTATGTATAGATTTCTATTCATTGAATTGTAAACTTGAAAAGGTCTATTTAGACTCTAAGATCCAATCTTCTGGGTCAGTGTGGGAATCCATTTTCATGGTACCTTATTTCTAATTTTCATGTGATTATCTGATTTTATCTGTTATCTAATTGCAGATCCATCTGCATGGGAATAACTTTGCACATGGGCTCCAGAAACATTTTCCAGCCAGCCTTCTCCCAGAAGAATGGAATGGTGAAGCAGGCCCTTTTGAAGAATTTTCTAAAGAGCTTACTGACTTTTTAATTGAATCTACAGACTATCTTCAAAATATTTCTCTTCTTGAATAACCATTGACATGAAGTAAACTCTATCTGGGACGGAGGAATACTTATTAACCAGAATGGGGTACTGATGAAGCTAATGCTTTAAGTTGCAGGATCCAAAGATCATGGAAAATTTCAGCTGTTTTAAATAGGTATAGGCCCAGAACCCCTATCCCCAAAAGAAACAATTAACTCCATTTAAAAAAAATGCAGGTGCTTTTTGATGCTTTCAGTCATCTGATCACTTAAATATAAAATTACTTACGGATCAATATCAGGTGTTATGATTTGAGAATAAGGTTACTTACAAAATAAAACGAGAAAGTATTTTATGTGAAGGGGAATTGTTTCCTCCCTAGAAAATGTTACACAACTTTTAATTGTACCACCTGCTGAAATTTGGCCTGCCAAAATGTAAATATAGCTTCTGCTAGATCAGAACAAACATTTTCCTAGTAGCTAGCTAGATGCCAAGGAGAAGCTGACAAACATGGTGAAATACTAATAAGCTGTTTCCTGTGTTCGTATCTGGTACTCAGTTTTCCCCCTATTTTTATGTCTTCTGTGAATTAAGTATTTCTTTATTCATTTTGGACTCCTTGTGAGTGATGCTGTATTCAGGCTATTAATATGTGCACATTTCTCTACAGTAAGCCTCTATGTTCAGTGGGTTCTTTCTCAGCAGTATATGTGCCTACCTAGAATTAAATGCTATAATGCTATATTAAATGCTATATATTAAATGTTACCCAATACAAATTTCTTTGGTTGATATAAATCAAAAATTTACCAAACAAATTTACTAATATGTTATATCAAAACAAACACTATCAAGATATAATGTGATAGCCTAGTTCACATAGGGATGGTTTACTTGGTTTATGCTTAGCCACTGTAGCAGTGGTGAAATCCTAACAGTTTGCACTGGTTCGGGCGAATCGGTAGTGATAGAAGCTACCAGTTCAGTGAACCGGTAGGAAAAAAAGCTACCGATTGGTCTGAACCAGTATTTCTGACGATCAGCTGTGCCGCACAATTTATATTTGCTAGAAAGCAGGAAATGCTGCTTACCTTGTTAAGTGTCCTTTTTCTGTGCAAAGCACATGTTTGGAGTGCACTGTGCATGCACACATGCACGTAGCATGCATTTGGTGCACACTGTGATGCAACATGTATTTGGCGCGCATCACACATGCACGGGTAGCAAACTGGTGGCAAACCGGAGGATTTTACCGCTGCACTATAGTCTAAAACACATACAATATGCTTTGAAACTTTGTGTAAATATACCCATAGCTTTTAAACGGACTTTCTCTCAGGTGAGCTTAGATGTTATTTCATGATGTAAAAAAGGGTTAATCAGCAGCTATGTATCAGTTGGTATAGCAATTACTCCTTTTTACTACTGATTTTTTAAATCTTAGATTTTGTTCATGTAATTTAACTTTACTTGACATAATTCTCAGGAATATAGGTTTGGGAGCTTCAACTGCTGTAAGAAAAAATCATAAAAATAATATTTATATTAGAAAGCCACTAATGTTTCTCTAACAAAGGGCATACTATTATCGTAACTTGGGCACAATATGCATCTGAATCAGATATAGAGGTAGGAAGTAGAAACATTCATTTTTAAAAATACTTTTTCAGACACTATAAAGGAGATATTTAATTAAGTACTCAGTTTGAAATAATGTGAAAGCAATATATGCACATACTCAAGTCTAAACATCCCTATCTGTATTAGATAACCTTTTTAAGGGAAATCAGTTTAAGACTACAGCATTACATACACTGAGAATAATTCTCATTCCAGTTTCCTAAGACTGTTGACCAAGTTTTGTTCTTTCCTTTTGCAAAACAAAGGATGAAAGAGAGAGGGAGAGGGAGAAATGGGCAGGGAAATAAGTATCAGGATCAGTTTGCAAATCTTCTTTTACTGAGGGAATAGACTGAATTATATTTTTCCTCACATTCTATTGACTGCAAAGAAGTTTTTTTCAGTTGCCAGGAAGACTGAAGGATTAAGAAAAGGAAAAGGATTAAGTTTCAGACCCCACCCAACTGGTAGGACTGAAATTTATGGAGACAAGTTCTGATAAGAAATATTTATTAAAGAAAAGATAGGAACTCTAACAATGTCTGCCTTTTGTGAGTAAGTTATATGTATGGCAACAGTATTCAAGCCTTTTTCTGAGCATTTTTCTTTGGGTCCCACCTCCGCCCCCTTCCTTTTGCACAGACAGACTATTTTCCATCTGTGCCTTGTTTTTGCTCAGATTGTTTTTCTCTGACTGTGAGTGCTAATTTCAAAGGCACAAAGTCTTCAGCATAACTACTGCAGAAGCAGAAAAGGGCTTAAGGCATTGGGGTAATATCGATGACAAAAAGGACGAAGTGGCTAAGACGCTGAGCTTGTCGATCAAAAGGTCGGCAGTTCAGCAGTTCGAATCCATAGTGCCTGTTGTGAGCTCCTGTTACTTGTCCCAGCTTCTGCCAACCTAGCAGTTCAAAAGCACGTAAAAAATGCAAGTATAAAAAATAGGGACCACCTTTGATGGGAAGGTAACAGTGGTGGGTTGCCCAGTTTGGACCGGTTCGCAAGAACCAATAATAAAACCGGCGGGAGGCTCTGCCCGCCACCCCAGATGTCATCATAGGCGATCTGCGCATGTGCGCCTTTGACATTTAGTCATGCCGGTCACATGACCATGGAGACGTCTTCGGACAGCGCTGGCTCTTCAGCTTTGAAATGGAGATGAGCGACCCTAGAGTCGGCTAGCACATATGTGCAAGGGAAACCCTTTACCTTAATATTGATGATAAACTGCCCTGGAGTGCTAGCAAGTCTGTCAAAAAGCAAATCTGCCAGCTTGTGTGGCTACCAGCTGAGAAGTAAAAGAACAACTAATGTAGAAGGATGCCAGAATTGGGTAACTGGACTGCATTTCCAGCGAATCTTCCCAGATAGCCCAAGTTAGAATTCCTTGTATGGCATTGCATCAACAGATGACTTTCATCAATAGCCTACAGAGAGATGCTTGAACAAAATCTCACTCACTTCATCTGCATGATCCAAAATCCTAGTGGGAACAACCAGTATGGAAAACATTGAAAGTAAAAGCAAAGTCATGTACAACAAGGTTTCTCAACCTTGGCCACTTCGAGATATGTAGATTTCAACTTCCATGCTGGCTGGAAAATTCTGGAAATTGAAGTCCATACATGTTTGCCAAGGTGATATTTTCTCTCAGATAAGCATACAAAGTAATTTCTTAACAGATAAAAAAAAATAAAATGACAACTAAAATAACACTTTAATGAGTAAAAACAAATACATACATATTTACTGCATTAAAAATACAGAAAATTCATGCTCCTGAGTTTTCTAGGCATCTTTCTAAGTATCATGCTTTTCTATTCTGATTATAATTTTTTTTAGTAACATTAAAGTTTATATTTCTATGGAAAAGGATTTACTAGATAAAGACTATTTTCCAAATTGTTAAATCAGCTAAAAAACCTGAAGGCAAATATTTTAAAGTTGTAAACATAAGATCTTTCCTTGGAGCAAACCCACAAGAACAATGGGATTTAGCATACATAAAAAGAAATTGATTAATTCAATAATGATGAGCTTAAGATGCTGGTGTTATGCTGTATTTTTTATTTGTCTTTTGCAGTTCTACTATGCAATTTGCATTTTTATAAAAGTTACAGAAATGTTAAAAACTGTTAACATATAATAAAGTATTAATAGTATAAAGCCTTTTATAAAGCCTTTTATTAATGTCTTTTATTCAGTAAGTTTTGGATTATATTTATACAGTATTGAATATCTTCCAACTAGATGAGTAAAGAACTTTGAAATTCTTCCATGTATGCTTCTCACTTTGCAATTGCCCTAAATGGCTATTGTCATTTATTCAGCATACAAGTTCCTATGTGTACAGTACATACATTCCTATGTAATATGTCTCTCTGTGTGTAAAATAACATTTGAAAGTCATTAACATCCTATGTTTGCACACTATGTATGGAGCAGGACAGGTGCCCGTGCCAGTTAATAATTGACATGGGAAAGTGTGTCATTCTAACTGACTCAAATCTTATTTATGTCTCAAATTTCTGATCTGCAATGGTCATACGGCTTCATTAGGCATTCATTCATATGCTCAGAGAGAATGACTCTTTATATTTCAGCAGTTTTGCAGTGTGACTGTAGGGTTCCACGGACAGTGGCAATTTTCTGGAAGTTGTTTGTGGCATTATGAACGTGGATAATTGGCAATCCCAAAGTTGATCTTAATCATACTGGCTTGCTGTCACCAACTGCATTTATTTATTAAATTCAAGGCCACCCAACTACAGAGAATTCTGTGCAGCTTACAGTTTAAAAAGTAAAAAAACCATAAAGTAGAAAAAAAACCAAGGATATCCAGAAGTACATACTATACAGTACAATAGGAAACAAGCAGAAACGAATGTTTCAGACACTATTGTTAATCTTTTTTTTTTTTACCAGAGAACAGATTTGTAGTTTTTAAGCCACACAAACCCACAATATATAAATTTATGTATGATTCTCCCTTCCTTTTAGAGAGATGTCATATGATCAAATCACTTTTTATTACTCATTGATAGATTTCTGTGGGAGACAACTATGTTTCACATGGGAAGGATGCATGCTACTGTCCATTATTACTCTAAAATATACTTCCCCATCTTCTTCCTTCTTTTCACATGACAACCAGGATATGATTCAGGATGGCATATCACTAGAATGCGAAGTCTGAGCTGCCAAATCTGCATATAGCAGTAGCACTTATATACGGCTTCAGAGTGATTTACAGCCCTCTCTAACTAGTTTACAAAGTCAGCATATTGCCCCCAACAATCTGGGTCCTCATTTTACCTTACCTTGGAAGGATGGAAGGCTGAGTCAACCTTCCTATTGTTAGATGGCAACACAAAGACTCAGAAAACAAACTTGTTTTGCAGCCCAAATAGAGTCTGCACTCTATTGGTTGCAGCCGATGACCGTCGATGTTTGTGCACTTAAGCTATGATCAAATAACCTATAGCAATACCATTTATATAATCAATTTTGAGGATAGTTGTTTGGAACTTTTTCTTAATTTTCACGGAATTTCCTTACTTCTTGAGCGGGCAGAAAAATCCATTCCCCAATAAATGTTTTGAAGCTCCCTAACATCCACACAAATCTTTTATCATTGATTCAAAACAACTTTCTCCGAGAAGTAACAAAATGAAGGAGTTCTAGACGGAAGGCGAAAAGACCAGTTCCCTCTAGACTACATTTCCCAGCATGCCATTGGTGGCGGAGAGACATCGCAAGTGGGCGGGGTTGCAAAAGCTGGCTGGCGTCTGGGTCTTGGAGCAGCTTTGCAGAGCGGGCTTATTTCGAGAACTCAGCTGCGTTCAAGTGAGCTGGGCGAATGCCAGCCATGGCGAGCGGGTTGCAAGTTCGCGGGGCTTGGGGGCTTCTCGCCTTTTGCTGCTTCTGCTCCGCGGTCTCCTTTGTGTTGCGGAGTGAGAACGAGCGGCCGATTATTGGTAAGTAGAAGGGCGTTGATATTGCAGGACCTGACAGTTAGCCATCCAGGACTTCAGTGCTTTCAATGTTGAGAAAGAGAAAGAGTAGGGAGTGAGTGGGGGAAGGGAGGGGTTGGAGGAACGAGAGAGGGAGAGAGAGAGAGACCTTTAGAGTCTTCGTTGGGACTATGTGGCTCAAATGACTGTATGACTGTAACTTTGTTGCTTGTATCCTTACGATTTATATTGACTGTTTCCTAATATGATTTGATTGCTTATTTGTATCCTATGAGTATCATTAAGTGTTGTACCTTATGATTCTTGATGAAAGTATATTTTCTTTTATGTACACTGACAGCATATGCACCAAGACAAATTCCTTGTGTGTCCAATCACACTTGGCCAATAAAAATTCTATTCTATTCAGGGTGGATTTGATTTAAATCGAGTCGATTTAAATCATGATTCAAATCATGATTTAAATCACTAGTAAAAAGACTTGATTTAAATCAACTCGATTTAAATTATAATTTTTAAAGAGCAACTGTCATCTCTGCTACTCCTTTGACCCGCTGTTGACTCACGGATAGTCCCAGTGTTGCAGAATATACAGCCTTGTGCTACATAACTAAGCTCCATTTCATGCTGAATAAACTAAATTATTTATGTATCTTAAATAGAAAACTATCTTACGATAGATTTTTACCCCAAAAGTTTTTTATTAAAATAAATTCAATAAAAATAAAAAAATCTGATTTAAATAAAAAAATCCGATTTAAATCAAAAAAATCTGATTTAAATTTTAAAAATCTGATTTTTTTGATTTTTTTTTTAAAAAAAATCATTGATTTTTATCCACCCTGATTCTATTCTATTCTTCGCTGTGATTTTTCCTTTGGTTGTCCTTAACCTTACTTCAGCTAGTAAATTGATTCCTCCTACTGAAATCCGTTTCATTGGCTTCTTGGAAGAAGTGCATAAGGCGTGAATAGGAAGTCTGGATAGATGTGTTCTTGTTCTACCTGTTTTCCTCTGTTGTGCCAATATTAAATAAAGGAAATATAACCTCAGACCAATGTGGTTGGAAGTAGGTTAGAATAATGAGAGATTTTTTAAATAATTAGTTAAGATGAAACAATGCATAATCAAACATGAAATGAAACATTTGTGATTCATTCTTGGATCTTGAAAATCCCTTGGAGTGATAAAAGATGCACCTTTATTGAAATATTTAGAGCATATCACATACATCAATATACAAAGTATGCTGCTAGAAAGAACAGTAGAAAAGAAAAGCAATGGGAGATTGCAGAGACAGTTGGAGCAGCAATATACATAACTAGATTGCTCTAAGTTATGAAGAACATGCAAAAATGACAAAAGATGAACTCAGTAGATAATACCAATCATCAACCTTTTAGAATGAGAAAGCACTTGGATTGATCTGACTAAATTAATCCAAAATTATTTCATTGTCCGAATATTTTGTTTCCAACTTTACATTATCATATGCTTTTTGGAATCTTGATGAGGAACATAATGGGATAGTGATAAATGGCAGATTTGCAGCTTGCAACCAAAGGCCTGAAATAAATATATGAATGCATAGCAGCTATAAAGACATCGATCTATTTCTCTAGACCAACAATCAAAAAGTAAACAATACCCCAGTCAAAGGGTATTGCCCCTGACAAAGACTAACAATGTAACAATAAACAACAACCTAATCAAGGAACGACTCCATCAACATTGACAGGGCAAACCACTAATATATAAAAATAAGAGCAAAGCCTACTCCTTTTTAGCATTGATCATGTTATCTAGTTTGGGTAATGAAACATCTGCAAGAAAATCACCAAGCTCAGACAGTATCAAGGCCCCTACAGATTAAATTAAAAATTTTTTTTTATAATATGATACAAAATATCAGTCATTTCGATATTGTATTATATTTTTACAAATCAACCCTGTTGCTCTTCAAATATTTTGAACTATAATCACACTAATTCCACAGTGTCTGAGAATTATGGAAGTTGTAATCAATTCATCTGTTGTATTGGCTCCTATTGTATTGATATCAAATACATGACATAGGTAGTATAATAAAAGTATTATATACTGTTGATTTTTAGTAAAGATACCCTCAACTTACAACAGTGTGTTTAGTGACAGTTCAAAGTTACAATGGCCCTAAAAAAAGTGACATGATCATTGCAGCATCCCTTGGTCACATGATAAATTTAGACACTTGGCAACTGACTTATATTTGTACAGTTGTACTGTCCTAGGGTCATGTGATCACATTTTGGGACCCTCTCACAAGCAAAATCAATGAGGAAGCCAGATTCACTTAGCTGTGTTACTAACTTAACAATTACTGTGATTCATTTAACAACTGTGACAAGAAAGATCATAAAATTGGGCAAAACTCACTTAACAACTTTCTCACTTAGCAAAAGAACTTTGGGGCTCAATTGTAGTCGTAAATCGAGGACTACCTGTATCAGTTTAAAGTGGATTTATAAAATTGTTAGTGATTTTAATCTGTTCTTGTTTAAAGTTGCTATTTTGTTTCTTATCACTTCTTTACTGTGTCACTGAAACGAAGAAGTGTCATATCCAGCATTTAGTGAAGGGCTGCTGAGCTGGTATTTTGGAATGTTTTGAGCAGGTGACTCTTTCAAATGGTTGTGCAATGGATCATACTGTCACATTGCATAATTTACTGGAAAATATTGAAAGGATTTCACCTTGTTCTGGTACACATCCTAACTAAAATAAACGAGAATGTTCAGTTTCTTTCCTAGAAGCAAACATGTACCACAAATAGTAAAATAATTACTGAAGTCTGCTTTCTTTATACTATATATTTTATACTTTGAAGAGCAAAGCTAGTCAAAGATAAAGGCATTTTATATTTAAACAAGCTGGATTTCTTTAAAAAAAAGTATTTAAAAGTTAATGGCAACCAAGAGGTCTGACCAAAGTTTCTAGAACTCCAGTCATCACGACCCAGATGACTATCCTGGTTGGGAATTAAAAGTGGTAGTCCAAAAGATTTGAAAAGCACCAAGCTGAAGTCTGAAACGCCTGTCTTAAAATTGTCCTTTGTTTTATGCTATGCATTCCAATGCTCATCTCTAAAAGAAATAGTCTGATGTATGTGCATCATAGACTCTCTGTCTTTGTTAAAGCCATTTCACATTTCTTTTATGGAAAGTTTCAGGGTAAGATGTGTTAGTTGTTTTGTCACTTTCTTGATTTTGCATAATTATACTAAAATGCTGTTTTCAAATTATAATGATATGTCTTTGTCAGATAGTCTCAGACATGGGCATATTCCCAAATCTCTGTGGAAACATGTAACTTTCCTATTGCACAGAGAAACATGTGATGCTGAGAGAGATTTATTCTTGAAAGGATTCAGGCAATTATTAAACACTATGAAATATATCAATTAGTACAGCTCTGCTATTTTATCATCAGCTTCTACATACTAGTCTTAGGGTGGCACAAATATCTAATATACATTCTCTCTTTTTCCGGATGGTTTAGGAATATTAGCTCAGGAAACTTTTGAACATTTTCAGAAGTTTGGAAGTTCTTATATTGCTGCTTCTTATGTGAAATTCATCGAATCAGCTGGAGCAAGAGTAGTACCAGTAAGGTAAGCTGCTAAGAACTACCTGCTCCCATGATATGCCAGTCATAAAATACATATAATTAAATTTGTCTTCAAGATACCATGTGAAACTGAATAATATTGCACAGAAACATACCTAGGACTTAATATTCAATGTTGCGGAATTAGAAGCAGCTGTTGTGAATAAGCTGCTTAAGAACTGTAATATCAGTCCTCAGGGCTGGAATTAAATACTGTAATACTTCCTTGTGTGATCACACTTGCATATGATGTCATATGTAGTAATTAGAGTTTTGAACTAGGAATGGGAATGTTTACATTCAAATTGCTATTCAGAAACTCATCATAGTGAGATCCAATGTGGTGTAATGGTTAAGATGATGGACCCGGATTGGGGAAACCCAATCATTATCTCTCAGATTGTTGTGAAGATAAGATGGAAAATCCAGGACTAGTCATATATGCTGCCTTGGAGATTCTTGGAGGGAAAAGTTGACATCACAATAATCCCATTAAAAATATTACAATGCCAATAAAAAAATTATTAGTATCCCAAAGCGATTCAGTGATCAGTTTGAATTCAGGCTTCCTCCTTCATAATCCATATGTGTAGTTCATTTCAATTTCTAGTCAATCTACTGTGAGAAAGATAGTAAATTTTATTTTGAATAGTTGATTCATATAAAGTAACCATTCCGGTATTACTAAAAATGAATTTTATTTGCATTTAGTGACTAAGACAATTCTAATCTAACATTGGAATGATGCATACTTATGCTAGAAATTTTCATTTTAATTATTATAGATTGAATCGTTCCAATGAAGAGTATGATGAGATATTCCGTTCTATAAATGGGTAAGTATACCAGTATAAGTTAAATATAATGGAAGGAGCATAGGATATCGAAATAATATTGAAGATCCTGATTTTAGTTTCCAGCCAGGAAAATTCATGGGATGATTATTATAGAGAACAACCTACCTTATAAGAAACAAAGTTTGAAAAAAAATTGTAAAGTACTTGATAAATAAAAAAATTATTCAGAATAATAAATTGTAGCAATGCAAATAGGAGTATAGCAGTAAGCCTTTGCAACATTTTAATGATGCAGGAAATTTGGAAGTGTGATTTTTGAAAGAGTGAATGTTGCTTAGCCCAAAGCTAAATATATGCCCAGAATGGTCGTTCATCTGTTTTGCTGGCTCTTTTAATAATGTTAATAAATGTAACATTGATTGCTCTTGAAAAATATTCTAGTTTGCATTTAAAGTAAGTGCAGACTAGAACTGCGAAGACCTTTTAGACATTGGACTTTAAGAGCAATAAACTGTAGAGTTATTGAAGAAGCAGCTGAAATAAAGCCAAAGTTGCACTTATTGGTAGTCTGTTGTATATATTAAAACTTCTTCCTTTATAACTCTCATTTAACTGAGATCAGCTGGGACGTTGTTCTTGGTAATAACATTGTTGTAACCATATTTTCTTAGAATACTTTTTCCTGGAGGTGGTGTTGATCTTGAAACTTCTGAATTTTCCAGAGTGGCTAAAATATTCTATACAAAAGCACTAGAGGTAAGTGTTCTAGCATTCAAGTCAACTGCATTAATGTTTGAGACATGAAGGCTGTAGGTGATTCATGTTTACACATTTTTTCAGTTTGCATTATCTTGTCAAAGAGGTATGTATGCTTCAATAGTCAATAGAGGTGTGTGTGCTTCAACTGATATACCGTATTTTTCAGAGTATAAAATGTACTTTTTCCCCCCTAAAAGAGGCTGAAAATTTGGGTGCGTCTTATACTCTGAATGTAGCTTTTTCGAAGTTTTTTTTTTTTCAGTCCTAACAAGGCACTAGCAATCTTCCGGGCTTTGCTTGCTCCCTCCGACTCTCAGCTGTTCTTTGGAAGCTTTCTTTCAGTGAAGCTTTTGCCTGCTTCCTTCGACTCTCAGCTGGAGCTTTTCAACTGGACTCTGAAGCTTTTTTTAGCCCTAACAAGACGCTATCGAGTGAAGTGCTTTGCCTACTCCCTCTCAGCTGTGAGTTTTTTTCAGCCCTAATGAAGTGCTAGCGAGTGAAGCAATCTCCACGCTTTTCTCATTGCTTCTCTCTCCAAAGATCAGTTGTGCTTTAGAAGCTGTTTTTTATCCCCAAGCAGGGGATAAAAACCAGCAAACTAATGTGCTGAAGCTGACCAGACTAAAGACGCTAGCCAGATGAATACCTGGTAGGCAGATATTTTTTTTCCTATTTTCCTTCCCAAAAACTAAGCTGTGTCTTATACTCCGGTGCATCTTATACTCCAAAAAGTACAGTAACTGTGGTATAAAACAGGATTATCTTGATGAGTGCATATTAAATTCCCTTTGTCCATAGCCTCTTTTTAGTCTATTAGTTTAATCACTGAACAGAACACTGCATGCAGGATTTGGGTGAATCAATGCTTATGTTTCTGTTAATTATAAACAACTGGACATTGATCTTTGAAAAGAAAATATGTCAATTCAATTAACGAAATCTACTTGTGGAATGATTGCCCACAATCATCTGTTCTCAAAGCTATAGTTATTTGTGTTAATTTAATTTTGCTTGTTCGATTGATTTATATCCCCCCCCCTTTCCTCTAGTTGCTCAAGGCAAAATATTCTTCATCATGTCTAGACTGCTTTGCTTTTTTAATGGAGGATGAAAGTTTTCATACCTGGTTGGTTTTGGGGGTCAAATATAGTTCTAATGTGATGACTGCTGATTAGGATTGATGGATGTTGTAATTCAAAACAGTGCCTAGTCTAGTTTTTGTGTATTAATCTAGGCATTTTTCCCCTTGCCATTTTCTAGGCCAATGATAGAGAAGATTATTTTCCCATATGGGGGACGTGCCTGGGACACCAGTTGCTCACCTATCTCACGAGTGGAGAAAACTTGCTCATTCGGACAAATACAGATGGCTTCACAATGCCACTGAATTTTACTCAAGGTGAAAATTCACAAGTTTTAGCCAATAGAGCATGGTCTAAGTTCTTCTGGGGATCATAGAATTGATGCATTAATGAATTCTGAAGTTCAGTGAAGTAGTAGTTTGAGGAGTGCAGGACACAGGACAGTTAACTTTTTCCCCTCTGTAGGCAAACAGAATAGCCGCATTTTCTCAGATCTTTGTTGTAAAAATGCAATAAGAATTTTGACTTAGCAAATTGGTGAATATAATGACTATGGTTTACAAATTGTGGTATGTAGCCTAGCCTAGAATTTGAACCTAATCATTGCCCTTCTTGATGTTGATGAGTGGTGTTTCATTTTGTTTTGCTTTTGGCATAAGCTTCAAACCACAGTAAGATGTTCCAGGATTTTCCTGAAGAGATATACGAACTGTTAGCTTCAGAGCCTGTCTCTTCACACTTTCATTTCTGGAGCCTATCCATGCAGGTAATTTCTTGTTAATTGCAGTCAAAGACCAGCATAAGGAGGGTGGGGTACAAAGAATTTAAAAGCATAAAAAATATAAAATGCAAAAATAAAATTACATAAAAAGCTAAAGAAAAAATATTAAAAAGTCTAAAAGGAGCAATAAATGGGCATAAAAAGCCTGGCAAAGTAGATTTATCATAAAACAATAATTCTATAATAATGGTCTAGCTCAGGGGTGTCAAACTCGCATTGTCATGTGACATATTGGATTGTTTCCCTTTTGCTAAACCAGGCGGGGGTGGGGTTAGCACGTGATGCATCCAGCCCACGGGGTGCAAGTTTGACACCCCTGGTCTAGCTGCTCATTAAACCTAATTTGTGGCACAGGTCTGACATAATTTTAAGCATGGAGAATATGGCACCATTGTATGTTGTATTAAGATTGGTATCTGAGAAAGCAGAAAGGTGTAGAATTGTCTTGTATCCTTATTGTATGTATACAATAATGGCAAAATGAGGCTAGTATGAATATCTCTGTAATATAAGCACTGTAGAAGTACATGTTCTGTGGTTTCTACATGTCCAGAGTCATAGAGACGTCTTTCTGGATAGGGAATTTTCCTGTATTAGTTTTCAAGTACAGCTGAGATTTGTTAAATATGCCATGAGGGAGGCAGACTACCTGTTGGACTCATAATTAATAAAGGTAAGGAACCTGGCTAGGTCCAATTGGTACTTTGCGTCTGATAAATGCTGTTTAATGAGAGCTTTGACCTGATCATATCCCATGCTGAACAGAAGGAAAGAATCCCAATGATATTTTAGTTGTCATTGGGGTTTTTTTTCCCCATGTGAAATGAAAATCATCCCTCATAGTTATTTGAAAAAGACCAAGAGGGAGAAAGAGTAGTCTACCTACAGTATGGTTGTCCATACTGTAGCCTCTACTTTCATGAGACCTTTCTCTGGTCTCAAGGTACATTAGAGACACAGTAGGTGGGTTGAAGGGCTGAATTTAGGAATTTGGGCTGAATAAGTTCTAATGGTGCAAAGTTGGAGAATGGATGGCACCACAGAAATTGTGATATTGGATTGTCCTTATTAAAATGATGCAGATAAAAAATGTCCTCTTTTAAAAATTAGTTTAAATCATGGTTATCTTTTCTTTTCTTTTTTTTACAGAATTACACAAAAAATGAGAAACTGCGCAACTTTTATAAAATCTTAACAACTAATTTTCATAATGTGGAGTTCATATCCACCATGGAAGGTAATCTAATTAACCTCTAAATGCTGCCTAGAACTAACAATTGTAGCACGGGCAGCCTATTAGTGAAATCCAGTACAGTTTTTGGACTGACAAAATGGTGGAAAATGTTTTCTCTTTCTTTTATACCCTCTTCAAAACATCTGCTCAGATGTTTCTTGTCACAGTAACTGCTGTGACCACAGTAAAGAAGCAGGACAGGCAATCCCATTTGTTCAAATAATATAACATGGATTCCAGAGGTTATTCTAGTTCTGTCTTTTCCTATACATTTAAAACTGCAAGGTGTGTATTGTGAGGTCATTACATTTCGCTGTTCTATTTTTACAAACAAAACACAATAGAATTAGAAAACATGCAACAGAATGATGTCATTTTATAGATTTTCCATTAGTGGAGGAAATAGGAAAGCTGAAGAAAACATGACACTGAAATTTTCTGTGGCCATCATCTATTATTATCCGTGATTTGTATACTTTCATTTGTGTCTGACTAAAACTCTTATCATGCTTTTATGGCAGGCTTACATTAGTGAAAGTTAATGTAAATTGTATTTCAAATAAACATCAAGTGGAAGAAGACAGTTGCAAATATTTTCATATTCAGTATATTCTTTAGTTTTCAAATTATTGGTAGATGAAAGAGTGTTATCAAATTGGAATTATTGCATTGTTAATTTATGTTAGTTTAGTTAGTTAAATTAGTAGTACCGGTATTAGTAGTACCGGTATATTACTGTTTCTTAATTGCAGTTTTAAAAGAGTTGTTGAAAGCTCAATAGGACCATAGTTTAGCAATAGAGCACTAACTCTAATACAGGGGTGAAATGCTCCTGGTTCGGACCAGATCGGATGATCCGGTAGCGATTGTGGCAGATGGTTCGGAGAACCGGTAGCGATGGTGGCGCAAGGGTCCGCCCACCCGGGTGTCATTACTTCCTGGTTTTAACCAGGAAGTAATGTGTTTTTTACCCTCTGTGCATGCGCAGAGGGTCTGCGCGTGCATTGATATGTGCATGCACACAAGCGAAGCAAGTCTGTGCACGCGGCACGTGCACTTCTGAACTGGTAAGGAAGGTAAGTAGATTTCACCCCTGCTCTAATACCTTTAGTTAAAAATGATCAAGTGAGCAAAGAAGTAAGCTACTGCCAAAACAAACAATACTGGGATGGTGGTCTCTATTCTAATTTTCAAAGAGTAGACCTGTTAGTCTTTACTATCAGGACTGAAAAGAGACGCTGCCATGAAAGCTTCTGTAATAAGAATTCACTTCAGTGTATCCATTTTGACAAAATAGACTCTTAATTTAGGAAGATTTATTGAGCAGTACATTGGTTGATAATTTTAAGATTCTGCTCTTCATTCCTATTTATTTAGTTATTAAGTTTTATTTATTAAATTTACATGCCCCCCATCTTGCCATTCAAGCAACTCATAGTTTCAGGATCCTCAAATAACTATCTCTGAAGATGATAAAAAGGGTAATTTTGGTTTTCTACAATGGTTAAGGCTGTTCTGTTTTTGTAGCTTACAAGTACCCTATTTATGGTGTCCAGTGGCATCCAGAAAAAAATCCATTTGAATGGAAAAATTCAACTGGCATTCCACATTCCTCAGCATCTATAAAAGTAACATTTTTCCTAGCTAACTTCCTTGTCAATGAAGGTAAGTAACCTTAGTAAGGGATATGGGTGGAAATAATGAAACATTTCCTTAAAAAAAGAGAACAAAAAGAGAAGCATCATTATATTCTACTAGTGTTTGTACTGCAAAAATGAAATTCATATTAATGGAATATTTGTTGGCCATATAGCATATTTCACAGATTGTGTTTTTATTACTAGACTGAGTGGATATTGGAGCTGCAATATTGAAAATTATACTCTTACTTCAACTACACTGAGCATAAAAGCCTTATTCCACAATAACCTCTGACCAGTTGCTTGTCTTTTGTGAAAAAGCCATCCATCTTTTATCCAATATAAAGCTGAGATTTTACCAATGCTAATTTCAGCCAGCCATCCATCCAGATACATTTCCTTGTTCTCTTTAAATATGGTGTTTCATAGAAGCTACAGGGTGGGCAGGTTGAAAGAAAAAAAAGAGCTTTAAGTCTGGGACATATTCTAGAAGCTTCTGGATTATATTTAGTGTTAGAGCCTCTAAGCATAATGTTAACAAAAGAATTGGGATTGTACAAAATGATGACATGAAATAATCCATATATCTCCAATATTTTGCAGCCCGGAAGAGCAACCACCATTTTTCCAGCAAAAAGGCTGAGACTGATGCACTGATTTATAATTTTAATCCTGTCTACACTGGGATCTTTTCATCTTTTGACCAAACGTACTTTTTTGATTAAATTTCCAGCCTGAAGAAGAACATAAGTAAATTTTAAAATGATTTGATCTTTTGTTTAAATTGATACAGTGTATTGCACTGTAAGGCCAAACATTTAGATTAATCATAGCTCTTTGTAGAATTTATCCTTTCCATTCCTTTCTGTAGAATCACTCTTTATGTTCCAAAGTGGTGAATTTGGGAAAAGCTTCTGCAGCAGCTTGAGACTAAAAGGCTTGTTGTGAAAGCCCTGAATTCCATTAGAACCTTGTGTAGGAATAGTTTTAAGTGTCCCCAATAACTGTTCAATTGAAGCACAAAGGATATGACCCCCTTATGGGTTCAATAAGTAGGAATGGAGCAGCACTTGTTAGTTTGGGGCTTACAGTAAATCACACAGGATTTGACTTACCATTTCGTATTATTACGGGGTTGGCAAAGAAGGGACAAGTTCTGCAGAAGTATTTGCCTAACCCTCAGTAAAACTCACATTGTTCTGGTCTTTATCGTATCTGGAGTTGGTAAACATTCTAGCATTATATGTAGTTTATGTTTGCATTAATTGCACATATTTCATTTGATAAATTGCACTTAACTATTTGTGATCATTTAAAACTCTTATTTAATGGGAAAAGTTGAAGAGAATGGCTTTAGTGTGAATGGGAGTGATGACTTTTCCTCTTTGATCAAAGAACTACTGCTATAGTTATTTCTCTCCATTAAGGAACAGTGTGATATAAAAATTCTCAGGTAACCCATTTTTTAATAAAGGACAACATTTCTTCTTGGGCACACAAAGGAAACAGTTTTCCACATTCTGAGCCTCCTACTGGAATGCCTTTTTAATTTCAAATCTTCAACCTGCCAATTGCTCTCAAGTCCCTTCCTTTTCTTATATCTCCATGTATCCTAGCATACTGTTTTAGTGTTTAGAGTAGACATCATCATCCACCCAAACAATGTTGTATTTTTTAATCCCTTTTTTGAGATTCCCTTCTTTTATACCTCTTTCTTGGAAATAGCACTTTATAGCACTAGGCATAGCATACCTATAGCAATAGTTATAGCACTTTAAAAATGATTTTGCTCTTTTTTTAAAAGAAACTATTTCCACAAAATCACTGATATATCTTCTACAAGGTTTATTATTATGATACAAATAGATGATTCTGAGCCTCATTAGTTTTCTCTCCCCTACATTGTTAATCACTTTCTTTGCTTTCTACTTGTAATCACTTCCTGTGTGGTCCAATCACTTTAAACTGATTGGATTTGTATCCATCAGTCTGTGAAGATAACTGATACTAAGTACACCCATTGTTTCCAAAACCATCATATATGACTCTTCTAGGGATCATAAAAACTGAAGCCCTGGTATATCTGAGAGGCATCTTCTTATGGAAGCTTTAGTTAAACCTTGCTTTTGGGACTTCAGGCAGCACTTTCCCTTATGTTCAGCCAGCTGGTAACCTCATGAGTCATTTGAATGGACAGGACCAATATTTTCAGATGCATTTTTTGTATTTGAGGATACTTATAGATACCATTCTACTCCTAAAACTCATCCACGATGGGAAAAAAGCACTCCATTTGCCTTTCAGCTGCATCCCAGCCCTCTCAAAATAGAAACTCAATATTTCAGGTTGACCCAACCTGAAAGCCATAAAGTGGTTGCTTGAAAGTGACTTTCATTCCATTCCAGGATTCTATCAATTAATATCATTCGTCCAGATAAATGGTGCTTGGGGTTTTCTACTTTAAATACTGTTTCTACAAAAATTTGAAGCTCAGAGAATCCTTCTAAGATGTCGTTTTATTTTAAGATAGACTAGATTTTTCCCCATAAAAGGTTTTGGCTTTATTTACAATTAATGCAGTTAAGATCTGTGGTTTTCTAAGATTTGTCATAACTGTTTAATAACTAAGGTGCTAAATATGCTTAAGGGTAGTCTATATTACCCTAAATACTGAAATAAAACATTCCAATTTACTAAATATTAACAGGGTTTTCATATAGTACAACAAACATGCAAATTTGGAAAACTAGATCTGCATTTTGATATATAAAGTATTTGTGACTGAAATTCTTTTCTTGGGTAAAATATTATGCTGATATCATAAATACATGGGTGTCTGCCAGTGTAGCCTTTAGGGGGGAAAAAAACCTCATAGATTTTTCCCCGTAGTTTTCTTTACTTAAGTGAATATAAAAACCTTTCATGTTGATGATGCTATTAATGTGAGTTCAAGATCAGGCTTTTTCAAAAATATGTAGGATTATTTTTTGTCTTTTTATAATTGCACTTTTTGTATAGGCATTTCAGTAATATATTGTAATAAGCCAAAGTATCCATACCATAGCGTATGGACCAGGCATGATCCACTAACTGCTTTTATTTGTTTTCTTGTTGTTTTGCAGTCTGATTATAGTGATTACACAAAATTGATGAGGTCTTCTAAAACAGGGATCTTAAACCTTGGCAACTTTAAGACTTGTGGACTTCAACTCCCAGAATTCCTCAGCCAGCTTTGCTAGGAGTTGAAGTCCACAAGTCTTAAAGTTGCCAAGGTTGGAGACCCCTGTTCTAAATGTGAAATAAAGGTTAATATGTTAAGTTTTAGAATGGTCTTTAAAAAAATTGCAGTTCACCTTTATCCCCCCCTCCCCCCTCCCCAAAAAACTGGGATAAACCAATAATATTATTGTGGTCCTTTGGGCTGATAAAAAAAACTTGGTCCCTCTATGCTGAGACCAAACCTGAATGACTAAGTGACAGAAAGTAAATGTGAATTTATTTTAAGTCTTATATAGTTTAATTTAATACAGTTATTCAATTTTATTCTTTCACCATATATTTGACTTTGAGCATATGGCCTTGTATTCTCTGCTGAAATATGTTTATTGCTGTATAATAAAGGAAATGCAACTTAATAGTGCTTTTAAGAATGAAATGTGTACATTTTTTTTCCTACTCTACCTTCTAGGCATGTCTCCATGCTAAGTACCCTTGCTACTCCATATGGATGATTTTTTTAAAAAGGGGGAGAAGAAAATATAGCTAATTCAAAAATAAGTACCATTTAAAAAATGGCACTTATAGCTTTCTTTTGAAAGCTGATGCTTTTTAAAAACAGGTACATCCTTTCAGCTCTTGTTATTAGATCTATAAAGAGAATGTTAAGTTTCTTTGAAGGGAAATGATAGGTTTCAACTGTCAAATGATTGAAAGGCTCCGAGAGATCAGGATTTTTCACTAACCATAAAATGTAAATCACCTAACTAAGCAATGAGGCTCAATTTTTTTTCTTGTTTGCTTATTGGGTTAGAATATCTGCCTTTATTATTACCCTAAGAATGTCACATCTAAAACTATCGTACTGAGGTTTGTGTTTACTGTACACATCTAATAAGGAGTAAATGTTGGAAGACAACTTCCCTTCCCATATTGGCTGTGGCTGATGGGAGTTTTAACCCAGCCAGCTGGACATCACCAAATTATTAGCACCTCTCTGAAAGAGAGCTAGGCCAGAAGGTGTTTGTAAAAACATGATTGGATTTATCTGAAAATCTGCTTCAATTAAGGACTGAATTATAGAGTTTTTCTGTCCTGTGTGACCTTCACTGACTCCATACAAGCTGTATCATTTTATGAACAATAGCTGATAAATTCTTTTTCTTTAATGTATTGTAACATGTTTGGCACTAGGGGGCCTGCATAACCCATGTTGTTTGATTTGTATTGGATGTGCAACCAAAGTCTGGAGCCTTTAGTCAAGGTTTGTATCAAACAAAACTTCCTCAAGATGCTCAATCAATCTGTATGAACAAGTAAGAAAGCATAATATATACAGATATGCGAATTACTCAGATCTAAATGTTAGGTATGCATCTAAATCCCCTGCATGCTTACTCCAGAATAATTTGGTGCAATTGGGACCAAATTATTGGGACTTGATCTCAGATAAATCTTCATTAAAAATTATACTGTTTAACAAATCTTGTGGTTATGGATCATGGAAGAGAAATATTAGGACAAGTTTACTAAAATAAGTAACCATGACGATGCATCGGTGACTGATGACTAGTTAAGTCAAGTGGGAAAGTAAACAAAGGCAATACTGTGATTTCCTTAATTCTAAAATCTGTAAATATGTGGAGGAGCTGCTATGATGAGTTAATGTAGCAGCGAATAATACGTACTTTCCCATAGGAGCATTGACGGAAGTGGTCAAAAACTTCAAGAACGCATTTTAAGCCGCCCTGAGTCTCTGGAGAAGGGCGGCATATAAATCAAATTAAAAAAAAAATGCCTACATGCTTGTAGCCCTGGCCCATTTTTTAACATGTGAGGTAAGAGTTTTAATCATATAGTCACAATCAACTTTTGACACTCGCCCCTCCCCCCCAACAACAGACACCTCTGTATTAGAATTGCATTTGATTGCAAAATAAGATCGTCAGACTTTTTTGGTTGTAGACTATCTCATAACTACCTTTGTAAGCAAACTGCATATTTTGTATTTAAATATTACCATAATAAATATGTATATCTGGTACATCACTGAATAGAAATGGTTTTTATGTTGAATTTATTGTTTATGTAAATAAAGCTGCTGTTTAATTTCAAATACCTTTTCGGACCATTGTCTTCTCTTTTACTACAAGCTTTTGTGATAAATTATAATCTAGGTGTAAAATCTATCTGAGAAAGGAAAATTAAAATCTCATAGTGAGGAAATTTTAAATTGGATTTCACTGCTAAAAAAACCCAATTAAGATCTGGAACATTTCTTCTATCTCATTAAACATCTGACAAGATGAGTTCTGTGACATTGTTGCCAGTCTTCCTCTCATTTATTTTTGCTTTTTAAAAAAAACAATCACCACCACAAAGCTTTCGGTTTGTAAATGAATGTTGCAAAACTGAATCTGCAAATCTTTTCTTCAATACATTGAGCAAGAAAGTGTACAGGAAAGAAAAAGAGTAAATACATTATCTTTTCTGGAAAAGCAAGAGAAGAGAGGAGGGAAAGAGGTAATATGGCTTCTGGGTGTTGTTGAACCTCAAATCTCATCAGTGTTAGGTAGCATGGCAAAGGATTTGATCTCAGTAGGTTGACCATCCCCCTATGAAAATGACACTTGGGGGAAAAAAGGAGACTAAAGTTAATTCTATTTTGTTATTGGGTGTGCATTCCACAGGAGCTCTGCAGCTTCACAGAGTTTATGTTGAATGCATGCTTTGCACAACTGCATTTAAAAGATGATGTGCACCAAAAGAGGAATGGCTAATGCTCCCCAAAGAGATGGATGCATGTATTGGATGTGATAACATGGACATTGTTTCTACTTTATGGGGAAAAGGACAGATGTTTAGATCAGATTCATAACTTGATGGCAGCAGATACATAATCAGGAACCATATGAAAATGGCTAGCTCATCCCATTTCCTTTTTTAAAATTTGCATTTACTCCTTTTTCTGTAGATTAGAGAAATCCTAACAGATTTTAAGAATATTTAAGCAGTTTTCCAGGAGGGATGAGTCTCCCCATCCCATTTAAAAGTAAACTGACAGAGATGTCATAATACCTCCTCCTCCTCCTTCTCAGAGAAGGAGCTTGGGTAAGACCTGTCCCAATGGATGAAGCAGTCTAAAGTGGCAGCAGGACGTTTGTACATGTCAAATCCTAAAGCCTGTGATTTGCCACACAGGGTCCTGAACGACGATTGACTGGCAACGACGACGATGAGGTCAGCTACTCACACTTGCAAGATTCTGTTAATATAGCCTTACAGTAGAATGAGCTCATCTAGTTGTTTCCTATCTGGTTACCTGGGAGAATTGATATATGTAAATTATATGCAGCCTCCTGTTTTCTGTTGGCATTGATATATACTGTAGGATGCCCTTTAGATAGAAAAAAGCAAGCACATAGCATACATACCTAAATCAAGCCATCATCTGTAGTTCCCTACCCTACAGGGTTTTAATGATGGCTTAATTTAGTATGATTAGGTTCTTCAAATCTCTACCAACTTATTCCACAAGTATTGGAAAGTTTTCTGGAATAGGAACAAATTTGGCCTGTGGTTTTTGAACTGCTTTGACTTTTTCATATTAAAAAGATGAAAAGTGGGAGACTGAGACAGGAAACGTTGACACTTCAGAAAATGGCATTGGAGTCCATCTCCTTGGATGAGCTGTATCAATATTTACACATGTCAATATAAAACTAAAATATCTAATTAGCTTAAATACATAGTGGTTTATGGAATCTTTGGTACTTGCTGAACTTGGTTGTTTGCTTGTTTAATTAACAGAACAGATAACAATTAGAAGACCCTGTAGCACTCTGGACAAATGGCGGTTCAATCTCTTCTTAAAAATATCCAGTGATGAAGCACCCACAACTTCTGAAGGCAACCCGTTCCACTGGTTAATTGTTCTGCCAGAAAATTTCTCCTTAATTCTAGGTTGGTTTTCTTCCTGGTCCATATGGTTGCTTCTTTTCCTGCCCTCAGGTTCTTTTGAAAATAGGTTGACCCCACCTATTCTTTGTGGCAGCCTCTAAAATATTGGAACACTGCTATCATGTCAGCCCTAGCCCTTCTTTTCACTAGACTAGAAGTTTCATTACCAACTAGGTAACATCATCAGTTCAAGTGAGTGTGATGTTTGCTGCCTGTTTATATACAGTATACAGTAGTAGCCTGCCATGCCATTTTGGTGGGGATGTTTATTCTTTGCTCACCACGGATGATGCAAGGAATTTATTACTTAGCTAGTTAATGAAAAGATCTGCAAGCAAACAATCAAGCTCAGAAAATACCAATATTAACCCTGAGCTACAGATATTCTTTTCTGTAGGACACAGCTGTATTTCATTGCCAAAATGCTAATTGAGTTTTGCTTTGATAAAGCACAGGATGACTCATTTGGTTCCAAGTTTTGCCTGATAGCACTTTCAGATTGCAGTGCTTGGTTTCAAACTTGAAACGAAGTACTTTTTTTTTTTCTCTGCATGCCAGAACTAAAGAAAGATGAAGGATTAAGTCTGCGGATGAACTAATATTTCAATATTCTTATACTGAGTGCAGCGTGAGGTTGAACTACAGGTAGTGCTGACTTATGACCACAATTGGGAGTAGAATTTCCATTGCCCAGAAAAGCTGTTGTTAAATGAATTGTGCCAATTTTACATTTTTCTTTGCACACAGTTGTTAAGCAAATTAATGCAGTCATTAAGTGAATCGTCAGAAGCTACTCAGGAAGATTGCAAATGGTGATCAGGACACTGCAACCATTGTAAATACCGGTACATGCGGTTTGCCCCACTTTTGATCAAAACTATCAGAATGCTGCAAAAGATTTACAATTTGTGAGGACTGATTATAAGTACTTTTTTCCTAGTGCTGTTGTAACTTCAAACCAGTTGCTACCGTGTTTCCCCAAAAATAAGACACTGTCTTATATTTTTTTGAACCCTGAAATAAGTGCTTGGCCTTATTGCCATGTGCTCAAAAGCCCAATTGGGCTTATTATCACGGGATGTCTTATTTTGGAGAAAACAGGGTAAGTAAATGGTTGTAAATTGAGGACCACCTGTATATAAAGTCCAAGGCTTCTGCCTTGCCCTAATTTTGCCTGAAACAAAGCAAGAGGAATAATTTTACCATTAGAATTTAATTGGCTTATATATTGTGATGTTGTATAATGTTTCACACACAGATTACCAGTTTTAAATTGCTTTTTCACCGAATGTGATTTTTCTGTTCCAGATTGTGAACATTAAATGCCAGGGAGCTTATGCGATGAGCATTTTTGTACTTTGCAGTTTGCTCATGTAATGTCTTTCTATGGATTCTATAATTTATTTTATAATTTACATGTGTAAGGCTGCCAACAATGCACAAATAAATAACAAAACCCAGTAATTAAATCAATAATGAATTAGAAGATGGTGATAGTTGGGGGAAGGGCAGGAAGAAACAGTCATACTGTAATCATTCTGAACCTAATCTTGTTCAGGTTGATCCACAGCTCAAACTAAAATAAAACCTGGAGAAAATAGATACCGCAAAGGACGCTAACAAAATCGGTACTATACTTTTTTACTTCTTGCACATTGCTTTTATTTCCCACCTTCCCCTATATACTTAAAAACAAAACAGAGACTGCAGGCTATTTCCTCTTGCTTATTCATTGCACAGCTGGACAACTGCACAAATCTACACCATGAATTTTTTATGCATTACAAGTCTTAGCTTTCTTATTACTGTTCATAATCGTACACCTGAAATATTAAACAATTCCATTCTATCTAAAGATGAAGATAATCGGGCTCCCTCTATGCTGTTTAATAATATCACAGTTATTCCCATGTCTCACACAGAGAAAATAGATATTAAATATGGGAATGGAGTGAATTACTTAAGAACATTACCCATAATTATTGCAAACAAAAAATGAATAAAATAGAGATGAAAATGTATAGGAAGTTATTTTGATGCCATCCTGAATCCCTTTTACTAAGATGTAATTGTGTAGCCATTTCAATGACTACACAATATCCCAAATGACGTAAACAAAATTACATCAAACAATCTAAATCTTAGGTCCTCAATACTGTACAAAGGGACAATGATGTCTCAGTAGCACGTTCTATTATGTTTATTTTTGTTTTAAAACATGCTTTTAATTTAAAAAGTGTTGGGGACTTAATTGCAAGCACACCTTTCCAATAATGATTCTGGATTTCAAATAGACTGCAGAACCTTTTTTAGAAAAAATGATGGTTTGTTGTACATAGTCCAGTACTTTGCTTTCCCAAATTATGAATATTTTGTGGTCTGGTAGTTAAGGCACTAGGTGAGATACCAAGAGATTATAGTTTTAAGTCCAACCTTAGGCATGAGAGCTGAGTGGGTGATTTTGGGCCAGGCACACTCTCTTGCCCAACCCACCTCACAGGGTTGAATTGAGAGGAAAATAGGATGGAGTATTAGGTAGGTTGCCACCTTAGTTATAAAATAATAAAGGCAGGATTAAACAAACAAAAAACATAAATAAATTGAAATGTACCCACTCACCCACAATATTTTGCATACTTAGTCTAGGGAGTGGTTCCTCTCTATGATGTTTGGACAACTCACAAGGAAATGGAAGTAGTCCCTAAAGGCTGTGCCAAACTATAATTTTAAATGCCCAAAATATTGGGACATCACAAATTGCCCATGATTTTAACACGCTCACCTAAAGTTTTGCTAGATTTCTAATGAGTACACCAGGGGTGGGTTCTACTTACCTTTACTACCGGTTTGCAGCGGGGCCCGCACGCGCTCTTCTGCACAAGCGCAGAAGCTTCTACACATGCGCAGAAGCATTTTGATGACGTCGGGATCGGTGGGCGGAGCCTCCCGCCGGTTTTACTACCGGTTCTATAGAACCGGTGTGAACCGAGGGGAACCCACCACTGGAGTACACCAATGTCTTACAAAATTTGGCAGCCCCAGGAGTTTCTGATCATTTTTTTTAACATTCACTTTTAATTTGGGAATGAGGCAGAACCACATGAAGAATGCAGCAATCATATCTCTATAAAGTGGTCCTGAAGAGATTTCAGTGACAATGCCGCAGTCTGAAAAAATTAAACACTGGAAAGTACTGTTCCAAATTGTGACGTCAAGGTGTACAGTTACGGTAGCCATAAATGGAATGCAAAATTCCAAGTAGCCATTAGATGAGATTGAAGAAGAATTCAAATGAATTTTAAAAAGGCAACCATCTCTCCAATAATTACTCTGCAACTATGGCTTTATATTTACTCATTGGTTTACAACCTTGAGGTTATATTAAAAGCCCCAGAGACTACAACCAAAATTCGTACCACCTTATCTTTAGGGATTCCTTGTTGGCCTGATACAGGATATATGGAATAAAGTAAGAATCTTACTCCAGTTAGTGCAGATGAAGGAAATCAAACATCAGGAGACACTGCAGTTCAGTTAGAGAGTCACAAATCCTGTTTTCCCTAATAATTCTGTTTTCTAGAAGTGTTAAAGCATTTGAAGTGGTGCTTCACAATTCTTCTACTTATGAAAACAAAATTACTAGTGAAGTATGGTTGTTAGATGAACACATGCATTAAATGTTGATGCAAGAAACCCATTAAAACAGCTGTGTTGAACCTTAAGGTGGTTACAGCACCTTTGCATGCAGCTGAAGATCTTTTGTTCATGTCAATGCATGCTGCAAAGCACCTCTTGTGCAGTGCCAGCTGCACTTTATATCAAACAAATAGGCAACAATATTGCTAAAGAGTATATGAATGAAGAAAGAGTTTCCTCACTGAATGGCGAAAGAGCTTCCAGAAGTGAAATTACCAGGATGTCAACAGATCATCTGAATCTTCTGTTTTACAAAAGGACATAAAACAGAATGCAAAGAATGCTGAAGAAGCTACTTGGATGACAAGCAAAATGTCTTCAAAGAAAAACCAGGAAATTCAGTTGCCTCTTGAAAAAGCACCTTTGGGACAATGCATAAGTACTTCTTTTGTAAAAAAAAAACAAAAAAAAACATGTTTTCTGGAAATATTTTATATGCATATTCTTAAGAAAACAGTATAGAGAACACCACAAAGGACCACAAACTAGGCACTGCTTTTAAGCTTAGTGTGTTGTTTGAACACAATATAGTATGGATATAATTCAAGGTATCATAAGAATCCTGCCCAATTGAATTGAGCAAACCATGATTAAGTTTGCAGTGTAAATATATTTGACTTATAAAGTTGTAAAATGACAGCCTACTGTTACCTATGTAAACCATTTGCTGTGATCTGTTACAGATGTATTTTAAAAGAATATGTGAAGTTTCTCTAAATGCACCTTTTTGGTTAAAGAGAATGTGAAGGCATTCTCTCTTAGTTTAATGTTATACAGAAACCCAACACAGCAGAATGTGGTCAACTGCTATAAGCAGAATAGTTTTTGCAATAAATAGTGCATATTCAACCTTGTTTTAATGCAGATATAATTCTGACTCCTTATGAACTACCATGTTTCTCTGAAAATAAGACCTTATCTTATATATATATATATATTTTATGGACCAAAAGACCCATTAGGTCTTATTTTTTAGGGACGTCTTATTTTGTGGCCGCTCACCCACTCCCTTCCACCATCTGCTTGCCCTCAGTCACAATGGCTTACAAGGCTTTCCAGGGCAGACGCATTTTTCGCCCAGACGGAGAAATGATGGAGACTGGAAGCTTCATCTGCTTGCAAATGGGATACTTTGAAATGTAACAATTAGCTCCATTTCAAAGCACCCCATTTGCAAGCAGATGAAGCTTTGTCTCCCTCTGGGCGAAAAGTGCACGGCGGAGCCAGGTGACAGCAGAGGCAAAGGGGTGGGTGGGTGGGGATGGCAGGCAATACCAATGCACTGCCCACTCTGTCCCACTATTTCACTTGCCTGCAGACCACCTGTGCCTCTGCCTCCGCCTGCTGCGGTGCAGCCATCCAAGTATCCCGTGAGCCTCCCAGGCAGCTGTGCAGTTTGTCTGGATCACCTGTTTCCCCCCTCTGACGCCACACTCAGACTTATCTGTGCTGCGCCAAGGGCCAGTGGCTGCTGCCGGACACTATTGTGTCACTCGCCACCTCTTGTGCTCGCCACGCCTATCCCCCAGGCTTATTTTTGGGGTATGGCTTATATTAGGCCCACCCCAAAAAATCTGGCTAGGGCTTATTTTTGGGGTGGGTCTTATTTTGGCGAAAACATGGTAGTACAGAAAGAGAATGTGTTTTCCATCAATTTACCTCTTCCAAATAAATTAATCATCTTCCCTTTTCATTGACTCCTTATACCACATGTGCAACAAAATAAATTATGTTTGATTTTAAGCAAAGTAACAAGAACTAAGCAATCTCATTTCCAATCCTGATTACAAATTCTGATTAGAAGGATATATTTGGTTGGAATAAAGCACAGTTGACAGTGCTATAAATAGAATATTAAAATACTCCCCTTAAAAACAAAGAAAAGAATAAGGATTTCATATCTATATAGCAAAAGAGTATAGGAACTGAGTATTTATTTCAGGTAATAGATCCAATTTATAAAGCTGCTTTTAGGAGCCAACATTATATCTGCTCCAGTCTATATACAGTAGTGGCCAAAATTATGGAAATCTTTTAGGAAAAGTGTATTTTCTAAAACTAGCTAATAACCACTTTTTTTGGAGTAGTACCATAAAATTATATATCAATGGAAAGATAATTTAATCAAGAATGTAATGCAATAACTTTTATGAAAGATTTGCTATTACAATAGCAGTTACAGTATAAAGAAGAAAAGTGAAATATGTAGAAAAAATGAGATATACAAAAATTATCACGTAGGTTAATACTTAGTTGGGTAACCTTTAGCATGAATTACAGCCTTACAACGTCTTCCCATGGAGTGAACCAAGTCTTTTAGTTCTGCAGCTGTTTTAATGTGAAACCAAGATTGAATGATTGCTTCTATTGACTGGGTTTTATTGCTGGTTCACTTCTGACAAACAAGTTTCTTTAGTCGGCTCCATAGATTTTCAATTGGGTTAAGGTTTGGGCTATTCCCGGGCCATTCCAGCAGTGGAATATGATTATCTTGAAACTCCAAAAAAAAAGTGGTGTTATTAGCTATCAAACCTCAAAAATACACATTTCCCAAAAGGTTCGCACAATTTTGGCCACTACTGTATATATTTTTATTGTTAGCCCCTCAAAATCACTTTGTTGAGATGGGGGAACTACATAAATTGTATAAAATAGTAAACAAATGCTATGGAAGGCTCTGTCCTCAAATACAATTTTGCGCATATATAAAGAATTTATAAATAATGTGTATGTGAGCAGCTGAGGGTGGAAGAATAAGTAACATCATTTGCATCCTGACTTCATTTACATGATATAATGATACACATGGCCTCATTGTGCCAGCTGTCTATGAATGCACAGATCTCCAGGTGCGGTCTCAGATTTCTATCAATTCTAGCAAATGTGGTAGATGGCAAAGGAGGGTAGAGTTGCCATTAAGCAAAATCTGGAGATGGACCACCCACCTTTTAGGGGATAACATAAGAAATGATATTGTGGATGTGAAATGCTACATCCTAACTACTTACTAAAATAAAGAACTACAAAATCATAAATGTCACAAAAGGATCAGAACAGTTCAGTATTCCTTCCCAAACTGATCCCAAAGGTGAACCAGCAAAACAAAATAAGTGCACCATGAGACAGGATAATTTACAACATAAAGACTAGATATTTTCATATAGTATCCAGAAAAGGATGAAGAACAAAGGCCTAATTTATAGAGCACCAAATATCCACAGAAAAAAACACTTTTATGACTCCCTTTTTATATTATTGGAAGAAATCAAAATGCCACATTAATACATATTCTAAAGTTATTTACAGATAAATTTACATTTTTTTTGTACATATCTTCATAATGAATGCCTTCTGTTCAGCTTTTACATTAAGGCCCTCAAGAATTTTCTGAGGCTTATAAGGCTGTAGTTGGTGCCTCCCCTTGATCCCAATGTTGTACACATTCATGTTTGGCTCCTTCTAAGGAGATTTAAAAAATGTGCAAATTACACACATCTGCCCTAAATTCTGAAGAATGAAATACTTCTCTGTCAATTACAACAGCTAGAAGGAATGCATCTTGGAATCAGAAAGGCATATGGGAGAAGCAGCCATATGCAAATTACCTTGCAAACCTTATGCAATTGTCATTGGGGAAAAACACAATTGAACTAAGGGAGGCTTACATTGGAGCAATCATGCATAGACTTGAGCTCAATGATATTGATCATTGTAACAATTGGAAAACCACTTTTACTGATCAATTCCTACAGTATGTCTGTAATTAAGTGGGATTCTATAGAAAAGGCTAGTGTTGTGTTTAGTTGGATGTCACAATTTTATCATCCTTGCCTTCCCTCCTGTTCATTTCATCAGAGCTGGGAGCTTTTGGGGAAAGTGTGTCTGTGGGTGTGGGTGTGGTCTTTGTATGGCAAATAATTACTAGCACATGCAAATACAGTACAGTTGTCTTATTCCAAAACTATGGTGAAATTCTGGAAAAAGAACACTCTTTCACACGCTCCACTGTTTTCATGCCATAAACACTAGATATTTTGTTTTAAAAAACTTCAAAAAGGAAAAAAGTTACAATGTACAAGTTGTCATAAAAGTGAGTAAAGAAAAATTCAAGATTATCTAAGAAGGCTTCATTTACAACACTAATAAGGAATCTGAGGTGGTGACTGAGAAATGCAGCCACATATCAGGAGAGGAATCCATAGTCCAGGTTGAACATAATGAAGCCATGTTTCTTCCATGAGATAGTCTTGCACAATTGGGCTTTTGTGCAAAGCCTGGTTCCTCCTCATAATACTGCTAAGCGTAAGCACGGCATGAGTGCTGATTCTTTCTTTCAACCTGAAATGAGAGTACACAAGTTACCTGAGAAGAAAAGGTTGGGAAGGAAGTTTAACTACTTGTTAACCTGGCTAACTTCTGAAGGCATTGCTACTTCTGAACATGGGTATAATGCTCTTCTGAAAAATTGCCAAGCCTGTGTCTTTTCAGAGACTGTGGAGTCCTTGATGTTTTATAAATTTGATTGTATGCTTGCAAATGTTTCCTTACCCAACTAGGTAACATTATCGGTGTGTCCATAGATCTGAACTAGTAAAATAATCAGTGGGAACAGTGGTACATAATAGCTGATCTAGCTAAATACATTATATATCCAGAATCATGGATCTCATTAACTTCTGCCACAATACCTACTTTCAGTTTGACGGTCAAACATAGCAAAAATCAAAGGAATACCCATGCCATCACTACTCCCAGGACTCATAGCAGAGACCATAGTACAGCATCTAGAAACTGTAGCACTCCCACATATATAACAAAAAATATGAATCCAATATGTAGATGACACCTTCGTCATAATAAAAAAGGAAGACACAAAACAATCAACAACATCTTCAAAAGGAATAAAATTTGCAAGGAAAGAAGAAAATAACAACTCTCTTCCTGGATATCCTCAGCAGCAGAGGAAATAACTGCATACAACCCAACTAACTAATTTCCAAAGGAAGAAATTTTGGACTGAAGATGGTTTTGTGAAAAGTGCAGCTGACAACTGCAGTGAAAAATGAAGAGCTAGTTTTGAGCCCTGGGAGATGAGAGAATAGCCATCTTGTTCAAACAATATTTGGCATGTTTAAAAGTTTGCATACTTCCTTTTCTAATCAAATTCAAAAATTACTTAATAAGTACTTTTTAGTAGTTTTTAGCAGGGCAGCTACAGTACATAAACAGAAAGCAGATGTAATGGAATGTGTGAATGGCTTTGGGGAATGAGGGAAGTGATGCTTATGCCACCCACAAAGACCTTGCTTTGTTGATTCATAACATTGGCAGCTACTCTTGCCTTGTTAAAGGACTGGTAGTTGTTAATGGGATTGGAGGTGGGATTTCCACATGCTCATGCTCAACTTTCTTTATCTATTTCAGCTGACACTTTTCCTTGGGTCTCCTTCATTATTTGTTTCCTTCTTATCTACTCTCTGAAGGGATCAACAAAGATTCCTGGCCTGTTGTCCTGCCTGCTTATCTATCTGCTTTATCTTTAGTTATGACTACTTCATTTTCGTCTCACTTATTATACAGGAAGGTGCCTTCTGAGGAACTAGGGGTCTGGTCGGGTCTTAAATGACCAGGGAGGGAGGAGCATGCCCCCAATTAAAAAAGCCAGTAGAAACTGGGCAGACCTCAGCCACCTCACTGTTCATTGCACACACTGTTAATGAAGCATGTTTAATTGCATCTGTAGCAGAAAATGTGTTAGGAAAAGAGAAAACAGTGTTATAAAAATGGAATAATTGAACTTTAATTGCTTTAGCTGTGAGATAGAAATGAGACAAAGACAATGTGACATCCCTAAAACTTTGCATGAACAGAGGAGTATCAGGATAAGATCATTTTTGAAAGTAACCTAATGCCTATTTTGGATTAGTAGAAGAGGTGGGTTTCAGAAGGTTCTGATCAGTTCTGGAGAACCGGTAGTGGAAATTTTGAGTAGTTCGGAGAACCAGTAGTAAAAATTCTGACTGGCCCACCCCCATCTATTCTCTGCCTCCCAGCTGATCAGGAGGAATTGGGGATTTTGCAGTAACCTTCCCCTGGAGTGGGGTGGGAATGGATATTTTATGGTATCCTTCCCATGCCACGCCCACCAAGCCACACCCACAGAACTGGTAGTAAAAAAATTTGAAACCCACCACTGATTAGTAGAGCAATGTTATTGTTAGTTTGGAGTACTCCATGATTAGTTTAATATTTTCCTGCATTGGGTCAAAGAGGTATGTGGCTCTTGATTTCTACAAGTATAGTAAACAGAGTTTATCTCCTAAAGGTTTGACAACAACTGGTCTAAGCAATGCACAAACATTTAGTTTTATGCAATTATAATCTTGCATGCTCACTGTGCAGAGACAAATAATTTATAATAATGAAGAAAAAGGATTCACTTATAACCCCATGCTTTGCACTGCATACAAAATTCATTTTCAACAAAATAGTTTATCTGTTTCTTCTACTTTCACATCCCCTGGGGATTTAAAGATAGGAAGTAATTGAAAACTAAATGAATAACTCAACAGCTGAAGTGCTGAAAAATTAAAGGATATACAGATGCTTTCAGGTCTAAAATTGTCATGCTCCTGCTTCTGATATGTCTGGATAAAACAGGAGGTAGATTTTCCAGAAATTGCCAACCTCATAAGTGGTAACACTGTGAAATGAATTCCTATCTTGCTAGAGCTTTCTACTCTAAGGACTCCTCAATCTGGCTCAGACTCTGATCTAAGGGTCTAAGATAGCGAACTAAATTAGACCACCTAGTCCTCTGGAAACTACAGTCAGAAAGTTGCAGGCTGCAGAAATGCTAGGCTGGCTTAATCAGCTATATATTCTATCAGACAGCAGCTGAGCTTTTGGGCATTTTGATTCCTGCTTGTTGCCAAATGTTTCTAAAGATATGACTTCAGCCAGGTCAGGTTATCCATGAAAGGTAGCAAACACAGTTCTTTTTCTCTTCTAGCTTTTAGCTCAAACACAGGTGGGCTTTTCACAATTTAGGTAGTAAAAGGCCCATTACTTTTCAAAATAGCAGCTATCCCGGCCCATTTGCATCAAATACCGATACCAATTTTCTTATTGTGAAGCCAAGTGGGCAGACTACCACATATCAGACAAATAAGCACCAAGAAACTGGTGGATAGCACAGATCACTAAATTGTTTTCTGCAGCTTAATTTTTTTTTTTACCTTGATCATTGAAATTCTTTGTTTTTTCGAGTCCATTAGCACTCTAGAAAAAGCTGCTTGGGTATTGTACATGTCTCCAGATATTCTGCAATAATAAACACCTAGGAGACGGTCTTAAATCAGGTCAGTTTCTTCATCTAAACCCATATATTTTTTCTGACTAAAAAAATATGAGAATGTAGGAGCTGAAGGATGTGAGGCAGACGTATTTTATATTTTCTGTTCTTCATTTAGTTTAGAATGGCAACACTATGTATTAAAGCTAAAATGTTTTATATCTAAGCAACAACTCTCCCACATAGTCCCTAACATCCTACAAGACAAACTGCCCTTGGCTTCCAAGGATACTTAGCCAGCTAGCTAGATGGTTACAAGAGAAAGATGGTTTGAAAATCCTAACCATCGAAATGTTTTAACTGTTAGAAAGGTCTAATATTTCCATTTTTACTTCAGTAAAGATAAAGCCTCTACTAAGGATAAATTTAAAAAAAACTTCTCTCTAAAAGAATTAGATGATCGATGTTTAATATTTTTATTATTGATTTAATATTGATTTAATATTGCTCTTCTATATGTTCTTGATAGGTTAATTTATAAACATATTAAAACTCTAAAATGCAGAATAAAATAGTATACAGGCATAGTATAAATAATTTTTGAATGTAACCAGAATTGTAATTTTAACTGTCCCTTCAAAATCCAAACACATAACACAAGGAGTGGGCCAGTAGTGGGTTTCAATTTAGTTTGCTACCGGGTCACTCATGGGTGCATGTGCAATCATGCGCACATGTGAAGATCCTGCGCATGTGCAGAAGCGTCCAGGCAGGTGGGCAGAGCCTCCCGCCACCGCTACCAATTTGCCCAATCTGGGGCGAATTGGCAATGTAGACCTAGGAGCACAATCTATGAAACTAGATGCTTTAAAGGAGCATCTAGCTTTGACATAGTTTTGATCAACTTTGAAAAGCTCACTGAAGAGAAGAAACTTTCTCAATTCCAAAACACCAAAAATGATTAAGTCATTTCAGCCAAGCAGCTTTCACGCTGTTGCATGAGCCATTTTTTCCTTGAAGAAGGCGGCTGAATGACGCAAGTTGCTCCTGCCTTGCTGCTTCCAATTGAATTGTCAAGATAGAGCAAGTTGCTGCAATTCTGTGGAGTAACTGCAGAATATGTTCACTTCACACAAGCCTACCACAAAAGAGCTCTTGAACTTGCTCGTTACAGCTATTTAACAATTTTGGTTTCAAAGTTTGGGATCCAACTGTTGAGAAATGAATTCTGCTTTGATTTTGACAGCACACATTTAAAAAAAACTGTGAAGGTTTTGTTTATGCTTTCAGTACATACACAGAGTTTCTATTATCTGATCTCCAAAAGGATGGATTGATAGTCACATCCAGTTCCACTTTATCCAGTGGACCACTCAAAATAATAATGATCATAAAGGATAAATAGGTCCCAATATTTGTCCCCACTCTGTGTATTACACCCAAAGAGGAATATCCTATGCTGTCAGTGGGGGCCAAGTTAAGAATATGCGATACCATGCTTCAAAAAAGACTCAAAACGACCTTCATATGTCAACTGGAACAGCTGATCTATGAAATCAACCTGTTTAAGAATTGCTTTATGGAGGACAGATAAATATTTTTCTACATTTTGCATACTAATGGGCAGTATAGAAATGCTTGAATAAACCAGGAATTTTTTTTCAGACATTGGTAGATTAAATACAATCTTCTTAAAGAAAAGTTATCACACCGGTACATTTTAAATCATTTTCATAACTGTGTTTGTGTGTAATTGCTACTTAAATCATTAGTAATCTAATGCCAGTTGCAAGTTAAATTTCACTGTGGTTGTAAAATTAATGTTGCTCTAGTGATCAGACCTTACCTACAAGTTTTCTAGGTTTTAATTCAATATGTCCCAGCAGGGATAGGAGGATATGTTGAATTAAAGCCGAGAACTATCAATTGAAACACACATATCTGGCTGTATGGAAATTAAATTGTAAAGTACAAATTGAATGGAAACAAAATAATTCATAAGCAATATGTTATGCTACCATGTGGAAATAGAAAATATCCAGAATATTATCAATTTAATGCAAGATATAGGTCCAGGATACAGTCTGTTTAGACAAACAAGGGATACAGATTTTTAATATAAAGCATAAATACCTACCTTTTGATGTATGGAAGTGGTCTTACTTGGAGCCACATTACAATCTTAGTGTGCAATAAAGTAGTACTTGTGGTTCCTTTGTAGAATATTTTTTAATGAAAGGTAATAAATGGTAAGAATTGGGTCTCAGGCATGCATATTAATGCCTGTCTTATATTAAGTTTTTGTCCTGTTCTTAATCATTTCTTTAATTAAGTCGCACCAACAAATAAATTGCAACCCTCATCTCCAAAAGCTATATATCTCTACTCTGCCCCTAGCTCTCCATCAACAAATTCTCCAATTAAAATGGTAGTAGGAAGAGCTAGCTATTAGTATACATAGTCATTAAAAATGTGACTCATGAGGAACTGTCTTGGCAGCTTACGATCTCCCACAAGTCTGTTTTCAGAAGGGGTCTATTACATAATAGTTTTCTGCAATTTATTTGCCTTTTTTTGACAAGATATGCTTCCATTTGGCTTTACTATCAGGGTAGGTCAGGTTAATGTATCCTTAGCAACCATTTCTCCAGTAGTTTTGTATCCCATTCAGTTTATCAGTCTGTAAAATATGAATCTTGGTCAAATCATATTTTTTCCCAAGTGTTTTTAAACAAAGAAGCTGTCTCAAGCATTAAATCTAGTTTCCTGAAGTTTATGCCACAAGAAATGCAGCATCCTTTCATTCTTTACTCACTGCACAATCTGATGTATTTTCTACTGGTCAACTGCTGTATGGTTCTACTGGATGCATCACGTGCTGGCCATGCCCATGCCCAGTTTAGCGAAAGGGGAAAAAGTCCCGATACATCACATGACACTGCCGTGGCGATGCAAGTTGACACCCCTGTTCTACTGGATTCAGAGAAGCTGTTATATTATCTTGTGATTTCTATTGGAATATGGTCTGAAAAAAGTGAAGAAATGCTTTGGGAGAGACCCCATGCCTGGAAAATACAATAATTGGCAATGAGTTTTAGTCTTATCCTACTTGTCCTTTCTTTAGGCTTTTTAATTTTATTTTATTTTTAATATTATCCACATTTTCTGCTATTGCGTGAATAGCTTTTTAATTGCTTTTCTTCCTGCTCTGATGTTTTTAGCATCTTCTGTTTTATTGGCTTGTTTAGTATGTCTCTCTATTTATGTGACTATTTATTATTGTACATTGCTTTTAAAATTGCTGTTACGCAGCAATTATCAAATGTTGTAAATGTAATTTAAAAAAAGAAAAGGAATGAAATGAGCTGATGAATGCAGAAAGTTCTAATATAGCATCCTTTCTTGGAAGGGAGATTGCTGAAAAAAATTGGGTGGCATAGGCTATGGCTATTTCTTGTGACTCTTAGCATCTTGAAGAATGGTGGATTAGCCTAAATATTTTGATTTATTCATTAGAAAGATGTAATGAGTCAACTAATGGTCATGTCCATGTTCCTTTTAAATTTTACTGCCTTTTACATTTCTAAGGAATATGTAGTGCCTAATAGTTTCTTCAACGGAACCATAATGTAGTAATTAGCATGCTTAAAGCTGTGACTGGTTACAGATACATTCAACTATGGAGGCAGTCAAGAGTCTTCTATAACAAGTGCATTTCAGATTAGAAAACATGTATCTAGCTTTTTAAAAACATTCTTTCTCCCTATCTTGTTATGAAATTTTAGTATTATTCTTTACGAAAGCCGTTTTTATTTTAAACACATGCATATTCATTTTACATTTTCTAAGTGAAATTGTTTTGTGTCCTCGATAAAATACAATAGTGCTTTTTCTCTTTTCCTCATATTTATATCGAGATTTTTTTCAGGCAGTTCAATTTCTGTCCAAATATCCTATGGCAGGAAAAAATGCTACAGATAAATGTTAAGCTGGTTGTCTGTGAATCAACTGTATCCTCTTTCCTTCTCATATTTATTATTAGTTATAACCTATTTATAACCTAGAAGCTTATGGCAGCTTATATGGGAATAAAAATAACTCTGTAAGACAGAGTAACTGGTTCCAAATGATCAACGGAATTTCCATGGCTGAGGCTCACCTTCTACCAAAATATTCCCGTTCAATACCTTAAGCACAATATCTTAATATCTTCCTTTCTTCCATAAAGAGGAAGGGGTTTCTCATTTAGAATTTTAAAACATTCTAAACAGCAATATTTCCCTCACTACAAAACTAATATACTTGGAATAATAAACTAATTTCATTTGTATGATTCTTAAACACGTACATTTTTTAAAAATAGGTTTCCCCCCCCAAAAAATAGGTTGGAAATTTAAAGCAAATCCCAAGTATACAATTAAGATAATTTATGGTTAGGGTTTGGATCTGATTTATTTACTTCAAATCTATTCTATTTCATACATAGCTATGCATGATGTAACTTCCATCTGACCAAGAGTGCTGAATGAAAAACAAGGCTGCATTGTTAAGGTAACATTTTTGGAGCCTGGAAACAGAAAGAAGTGACTTCTCAAAATGATGATAGATTGAATAAATGTATTAAATGATAACAGCCTAGTTGCAATAAACAAAAAGGGCAGAAAATGATGTTTGGAAGTGCACTGGGTTTGCTACATTTCTTAAAAGTAATCACTTTGAATTTCAGTCTGAAGTTTTTGGATTTTATTCCAAAAAGCTAATTTAGGGTGACATCGGAATAGTACCTTTCAACAATTCATGAAAGCAGCTGCATCTTTTCCTGGGATCATATGGTAACAGTCTCTTGCCTTTCCCACTAAAATCTTACTTCTCAAAAGAATCATGAGTACATGAAAGCCTCTAAAATGAGAAATGCAGTACATTCCTATTTCAATAGTAGCATGACATCAAAGCCAGGAAAGCAATGGCTTGATAGAACATTTCTTTATATGTTTATTGCTCTTGGAAATATATTGATCAATACTTTCTTAAGCCTTGCAGAAGAAGTGATGGTTATTATTTGTTAACCCTTCCTGGCAGATTTAGTCCAAGAAGTTGAAAATTATGCAAATATATTTCTCTTCATGAAATATTAAAGGCCAATAATTGCAGGTTTACTTTAGGCTGAATTAAATAGACATTTTATATACAACGTCCATAATTTCCAAAACAAAGTTTTGTGTGTGTGTTTGTATGTACTATACGTATATATGTATACCCACATACATATTTGTTTGAAGTTGTAGACATTAACAATGTAGAAATTAACCAAGTATGACGAATGTAACAAAACAATATTATTTTTCAAGCATTTGGCTGAATTTTAAAATAAGCAGAGCAGAACAGAACAGAAGAAACTGGTACCATCAGAAGGAAATTATCTATCCAAATTGTTTTTGTCCTTTTTAAAAGAACTTGGCATCATCTGTCAGACTTCTCATCTTTTCTGAACCAATAAAATGCACCTCAGATTGGACAGGAAAATAGAGGACAAGCGCACCATAGCTTTGATACGTATCCCAGATTAAATTGTATTTTTTATTGCTGCAGTAAAAGTAGAATTGTCCATCAAGGTCCCATGCCTAATACTAATGGTAAAGTTATATCCAGAGATTGATTGATTGATTGATTGATTGATTATTTATTTATTATATTTATATACCGCTCTTCTCCCGAAGAATTCAGGACGGGGAACAGCCAAGATCAAATACATAAATATAAAAATTAAAAACAATTTAAAACCAGATTAAATACTTTGGCCCATAATTAAAAACATCCCATTAAAATCCAATTTAAAATTTAAAACTGTTACAAATTAGGCTAGCCCAGCTTGCTGGAATAACAAAGTCTTCAGGGCATGTCGGAAGGTGCGCAAGTCCGGGATCCTCTGTACCTCCGGGGGCAGCTCGTTCCAGAGGGCAGGAGCCCCACTGAGAAGGCTCTCCCCTGGGGGGGGGTCACCAGTCAACATTGTCTGACCGATGGCACCCCGAGGAGCCCTGCCCTATGGGAGCGTACTGGCCGGTGGGAGGCTGTCGGTAGCAGAAGGCAGTCCCGTAAGATTATTACTGCTGTGAATTATTATATTACATTTTATATGTTATTGTATTTTAAAGCAGTGGTCCCCAAACTTTTTGGCATCAGGGACTGGTTTCATGGAAGACAATTTTCCTACAGACTGGGGAAGGGGATGGTTTTGGTTTCACTAGCTTGCCTGCCACTCATCTCTAGCTGTGTAGCCAGTTCCTAACAGTCCATGGACCGGTACTAGCCTGAGTCCTGGGGGTTGGGGACCCCTGTTGTAAAGTACCTTTTAGAATGTATATCACCCTTTTAAGGAAGCTTTTACAGGAAATAACAAAATGTAATACAACACTGTAAATCACATAAAATTAAAAATAGAAGAAAACATTAATATGAGCATAGCACGGATTAGAATAACAACAAATAAAATACTTAATCTTATTGATGTGTACTGGCCATATTATAAGGGCAGAATTAAAAGAAACCTACTTGTGTTCAAGAGAAGAATGTTGTTGTTCCTTTTCCCCCCCAAATATACCTTTATATTTCCAAAAAAATTCTATGAGAGCAATATTATGTCTCACCCCAAAGTTGTGGCTCCAGAGATTGGAAGGTGTATATCAGTATTTACTGCTGTCCTCTTCTTCCATAAAAACACTAATCACATAACAGGCATAAACAAAGCCAATCAACTGTGAGAGAGAAAAGAAATGGAAAAAGTGTTACTTCATTCTATAAATGTTCAAATGTATGTGCCAAACTACATCTAGTTCAGAAATGTAGTACAGGTATATATACAAACTAGGTAGAAACATAGAAAACTGATGGCAGAAAAAGACCCAGTGGTCCATTGAGTCTGCCCTTTGAGTTTTTTGGAACTGTAGAAACTTTCAAGAGGTACAATCAGCTTTATTCAATTTTGGTTACAAATTCATGATAATGCAAAGAAAATTCCAGTGAAATTAAGATTTGGGGATCAGAATAGTTGAAACAACTTTTTCACAATATGAATCCATTCAGAATATATAATTGCATTGTAAGTTCTCTTTATAGATGCTACCACTTATAGAATTTTGATGGGTTAGACCTTTTCTATAGCTATATTCCAATTATGCAACTCCATCCTACAGTGATGAACTACTGAGCTATTGCAGCTGGCAGCGACACAGTGAATCCACAGCCAGCTTCATCAAACGGGAATGCCTGAAAATGCATTTGGCAACAGTGTTTGTAGTTCAGTTGAAGTCCCTTGCTGTGAAAGCAGAGACAGTTAAGAAACAAGGAAAATGGCACTCCAGCCGTACTCTGGAGAGGAAAACAAGTCTTTTTGGTGCTGAGAGAATTGGTGCCTCTTCTCTTCCCTTCATTCATGCAGGAAGAATGGCTCCTTTCCTGCTAGGTCTCTGATCCTATGGAATGATCCTATGAGATGAGAGAATTGAGAGCATAAGACCTGTGCCCCTCTTCTCTCCCATGTCAAGTGAAGTAGTGGGGAGTAAGGGGGAAGAAAGATCTCTTTGTCTGTGGGTGATAGGAAAAGCAGGACATGGAGCAAAATGTCTTGTTTGGTTCTAGAATGACCACTCTGTGGGATCAGAGAGTTGGAAGGAAACTGTTGTCTCCCCAAATTCTTTTGCCTTCCATGGGTGCTTGGAGTGGGGGTCTGGAAGAGAAGGGAAGTAGATCCTCCTGGTTGCAAAAATAATCTCTTGGCCCCAAAGAGATCTTCTACCACAGATTCCTTTCACCAGAAGAGGTGAAGCTAACTTATTTTTTAAAAACCAAAAGTACTAAATCAAATTCAGAGCTAGAGAGAAATAATCTCCCAAAAAGCAATGTGGCACTCATACAATGTATATCTTAAATTTGATCCAGAATTGGCAGTCAGCCTTCTACTGTTTCACATGGCCTCAGATTAAATTCCAACTGTCCCACTTGCCATACAAAAAAACCCTCCTCTGCTTCACTGCTGAAGCATAGCAGAGGTTGGTAATGTGATCAACATTTAAGCTTGCATAATTTTCAGTCAGTTCCCACAATTGATAGTAGTTCTTTGGTCTACCATGTAGATATCTGAGATAATCTTTAAATATGGCCAAGGTCAACATTGATTTAGGTTTCAAATAACTGGTCTTGTATGTCCAATATAACTTCTTCAAATATGAATAAAACATATATCATGAAATTATATTAAATCAAACATATTTTTAAAAAAAGAAGACAAAAGAAATCATTTTAAAAGGTTAAATTGGTAGATGGAATTGTTGCCCATATCTGGGGCAATTTTAATAAAGAAAACTTATCAATAATTAGATGAATGACTGAAAATACTCTTCCTATTCAATAGCAAATGTAAAACTGAAAATGGAGTGATCTTTAAATATATATTAATGGACTACTATAGTAGCTTTTAATAGCAAGGGAATTATTACAGTATTTTCTTTGATTGATTGATGGTCATTATAATAAAATATTTATTTCAACAAATTACTTTGGCTAGCTATCTTGATTAACCCAATTGTTATTTAATTAATATGTCTACAGTCACAAAAGCTAACTAATAGTTAGGTTAATAATTAATCTGCAATGGGACCATTGCTTTGCATTGCTTGGCTTTTCAATATCTTAATGCAAATAGCATTTGTTGGCAACTTGCCTAGACTCAAGTTAACTTTTATTAATTGATAAGAAAGCAAAACTTGGTGTGCCCAATTACCATTGCATAATTTTTCGTATCAACCACATAGATCAAGAATGGAATTCTGTGGTCCTCCAGACACGGCTGAAACACTGCTCCTAATATTTCTCGCTGACTTGGTCCCCTATTTTGGAGTTAAACATTAAAGTCTTTGTATATCACACTGTCCTATGTATTTTTCTATGCATTCCAGATAGTGCATTCCGAATACATGCTTCCTATTGAAGCTGATCATTAATAAAATGTTGGTTTAGAGGTAGAGCCTTGAAAATAGGGAAGTAGGGAAAGTGAATAATTGAGAGAAATGTTCAATCCTTTAGGTTTACTTTGTTTGAAAGCATGCACATGTAAATAGATAAATAGGTACTTTTTGGTCCCACTTTGTGGGAAGAAACAGCATTCTGTGCATCTCATTCATGCTTGCCACATGACCACGGAAAGGGTCTTCAGACCACAATGGCTTCCTCAGTTAAGAGAGGTAGATGAGCAATGCTCCCTAGAGTCAGATATGACTGGACAGGGGAAACCTTTACCTTTACCTTTTAATTAAGAGATATGTTAAATCTTTTAGATTTCCTTTCAAATATTCTATGTTCCCAGTATGAAATGGCTGGAAATTGGGTTCCAAAATTCTGTCATCACATGGTACAGGATGATGGGCTCTGACAAACGCAAAAAAAAGTAATTCAGATGTTGCAGGTGATCATATCTGAAATACAGTGTGCATTAGTCATCTAAGTTTTCTTCCTATAATTTTCAAACTGGGAGCAAGAACTTATTTCGTCTTTGCTTGAGTAAGCTGAATTTATCTGCTTCTCAAATAAAGTGTTTTGGAATTTATAGAGCGCATTGCAAATCCCTAGAGGAAAGCTCTCTCCCTGAAGATCCATATAGATTCCCTTTTATTAATAGTGATATCTAAATGTTGAATTTCTGTATTCTGCAGATCAGAAAAAAATCCTTGGGCTATTTTAAGACTCAATAAACTACACAGTATTTTATTTTATGGAGAATTTGCTATAACTGCAGGGAAGCTTTGCATGATTTTTAAAAATGTAGCATGGAGATATATGGTTTAATTTGAGAATAAGATTAATACCGAAAGGTGAATATTGATTGTTCTATAAATGAGACACCATGTCTTATCTAAACAGGCAACTTCTCTGAAAGTTGAAAGACCGTGAGTTCCGGCCTCCCCAGTACAACAAAAAACAGCTGAAACCACGGAAAAGGATAAAGCAGTTCCCACCCTTAGTATGCAAAACATTCATTCCATATTAACGACGATCCAGGAAGGAATGAATAAAATGCAAGAGACTATGGCCTATAACCATGAGGAGACAAGGAAAAACCACGAGGAACTAAGGATGGATGTGGGAGAGATAAAGGATAATATTAGGAACATGGACGAGAAGATAGGAAAGATACAACATAAAATGGAGGAAAATGAACAGAGGATTTGTAAGGTGGAGGAGAGAATAGAATATACAAATAAGAAAATGGAGAGGATGGAATATGACCAAGCAGCTACAAATAAGGATCTAGAGGACACGGTATCATATCTTGAGATGGAGAAGGCATCCTTCTACTTAAGGTTCCAGATTGTAGAAGAGCAAAAGGAGGAGGACTTAGGAGAAATCATGACTGAGATACTCTCTGAAGTGACCCAGAGGAACAAGGAAGAGATTCGAAGTGGAATAGACGAAATCTATAGAGTCCACACGAACCACGCCCGGAGAAATAAACTGCCAAAGGAAATACATATCAGATTTACAAAAAAATCCTTAAAAGAAGAGATCTATAGGAAGATGAGAGAGGATACAGCTATGTATAAGGGAAGAGAAATTTTAACCCTCAAACAGATACCAAAAAGGACGAGGGACCAAAGAAGGAACTACAACTTCCTAACGGCACAATTAAATAAATTTAAAATAAAGTTCCGCTGGCTAATACCGGAGGGTCTACTAATTTCCTGGGAAGACAAAAAATACAGAATTGATAACGTAGGAAAAGCACAGGACTTCTTTGATCAACACTTCGTGCTGGAGGAGGAGCAAGAGAGTAGAAAAGAAGAGGGTCCTAAGAGGCAAGAGGAACGGCGGACAGAGAAAGAAGGAAGAGACCAAGAAGAGGGGAGAAGATTGGAAAGAGAAAGAATGGAGAGAGAGGGAGCGAGGGAAAAGACGCAAATGATACTCAGAAACAACAAAAGACTGCAATCAACGGATAAATAAATAAAGAGAGATGGAAAAAGAGCTAAAACTCATTTCAATCAACATAAACGGACTTAATTCACCAGCAAAAAGAAAACACACATTTACAAAACTTCAAAAACTAGAAATGGATATTATAACACTCCAAGAGGTACATATTAAAAGACAGCATCAAAAACTATTGGATAATCAAAGATTAGGAAGACTATATGCAGCGCTTGGAGACCAAAAAAAGAGAGGAGTCATAATATATGTGAAGAAATACCTAAAAACAAAACAAATATATGCAGATACAGAAGGACGTTTCTTAATAATAGAAATACAAACAGAATCCAAAACAATACTATTAATATCTATATATGCACCCAACGCAAATCAAAATGATTTTTTCAAAAAGCTACACAATATAATTAAAGACCTGGAGTACGAAGCTATCTGTATGGTAGGAGACTTCAACGCAATCACGGACATAGAAAAAGATTACCGGAGTACCAAACAAAGTAAAACCAGAAAGAAAACTCTACCGAAACCCTTCAAGGATATGATCAATGAACTACATCTACATGACGTATGGAGAGAGGCAAACATGCAAACGAAACAATATACATATTATTCAAACCCACATCAGTCATGGTCTAGGATCGACATGGCCTGGATGACTTCAGACCTCAGAGAGGAGGTAAAAGATATCGAAATAGCAGTGAACACCTGGGCAGATCATAACCCCATTAGAATAATATGGAAGGGACATCGAAAGCAAAGGAGGTGGATGATGGACACG